CAGGGCGCCGCTGAAAAGAGGGGTGGATAAGATGAGAAAAAATATTCCTGGAGTTTGTGACGCCCGCCATTTGGTGAGACGCAGACCCAGTAGAAACGGTGAGATGGAGAATATCCTGTCTGTCTTGTTGAGCTTTGAAATTGAGTTTCTACCTGGTAAGGTCAGGCTAGGGTATATTAGCTATTCGGTGAGAGTGTTTGTTCCGAACCCGCTAAGGGGCTTTAGGTGCCAAGTATTCTTGTGATCATATGGAGATCCCAGGATGTGGAAAGTGTGTAGGAGGGCATAGTCAGAGCAAGTGTGAAGTTGGGGTTGAGAAAGCACTGTGTGTAGACTGGGGCGCCCATGCAGCTGAGGATCCAAAGTGCCCTGTACGAGAGAGACAAGTTGAGATTGCCAGAGTTCGAGTAGGGAAGAAGGTTTCATATACTGAGGCAGTAAGGAGAGTAGAGGATACCCCAAGAATGAGGGATTCGACTGGGAGCCCCCCAGTGAGGCCTGAAGATGGAGATCCAGAGAGGATGAGTTTTGTAAGGTTGGATTTCATGCATTTATAGCCATGGTGATCAACTGCACTGCACTGATGGAGAGGAAATCACAGAAGATAGATGTGATCTTCACTGACATTTTCAACCTCTCCCTGACCGTCTGTAATACCTACATGTTTCAAGCAGACCACCATAGTCCCTGTGTCCAAGGAAGCGAAGGTAACCTGCCTAAATGATTACCGCCCCGTAGCACTCACGTCGGTAGCCATGAACTGCTTTGAAAGGCTGGTCATGGCTCACATCAACACCATCATCCCGGAAACACTAGACCCACTCCAATTCGCATACCGCCTCAATAGATCCACAGATGACGCAATCACAATCGCACTCCACACTGCCCTTTCCCACCTGGACAAAAGGAACACCTATGTGAGAATCCTGTTCATTGACTACAGCTCAGCGTTCAACACCATAGTGCCCACAAAGCTCATCACTAAGCTAAGGACCCTGGGACTAAACACCTCCCTCTGCAACTGGATCCTGGACTTCCTGACGGGCCGCCCCCAGGTGGTAAGGGTAGATAACAACACATCTGCCACGCTGATCCTCAACACGGGGGCCCCTCAGGGGTGCGTTCTTAGTCCCCTCCTGTACTCCCTGTTCACCCATGACTGCGTGGCCAAACACGACACCAACACCATCATTAAGTTTGCTGACGACACAACAGTGGTAGGCCTGATCACCGACAACGATGAGACAGCCTATAGGGAGGAGGTCAGAGACCTGGCAGTGTGGTGCCAGGACAGCAACCTCTCCCTCAATGTGAGCAAGACAAAGGAGCTAATCGTGGACTACAGGAAAAGGCCAGTACATCACTGCGGCCAAGCTTCCTGCCATCCAGGACCTACAGTGAGGGAAAAAAGTATTTGATCCCCTGCTGATTTTGTACGTTTGCCCACTGACAGAGAAATGATCAGTCTATAATTTTAATGGTAGGTTTATTTCAACAGTGAGAGACAAAATAACAACAAAAAAATCCAGAAAAACGCATGTCAAAAATGGATTCGCATTTTAATGAGGGAAATAAGTATTTGACCCCCTCTCAATCAGAAAGATTTCTGGCTCCCAGGTGTTTCTGCTTGTAAACAGGAATCAGGAGGATAGAATTATGGTCAGATTTGCCAAATGGAGGGCGAGGGAGAGCTTTGTATGAGTCTCTGTGTGTGGAATGAAGGTGGTCTAGAGTTTTTTTTCCTCTGGTTGCACGTGGTCCTCTGTAGCTCAGCTGGTAGAGCATGGCGCTTGTAACGCCAGGATAGTGGGTTCGATCCCCGGGACCACCCATACGTAAAAATGTATGCACACATGACTGTAAGTCGCTTTGGATAAAAGCATCTGCTAAATGGCATATTATATTATTTTATACAGGTAACGAGCTGAGATTAGGAGCACACTCTTAAAGGGAGTGCTCCTAATCTCAGCTTGTTACCTGTATAAAAGACACCTGTCCACAGAAGCAATTAATCAGATTCCAAACTTTCCACCATGGCCAAGACCAAAGAGCTCTCCAAGGATGTCAGGGACAAGATTGTAGACCTACACAAGGCTGGAATGGACTACAAGACCATCGCCAAGCAGCTTGGTGAGAAGGTGACAACAGTTGGTGTGATTATTCGCAAACGGAAGAAACACAAAATAACTGTCAATCTCCCTCGGCCTGGGGCTCCATGCAAGATCTCACCTCGTAAAGTTGCAATGATCATGAAAACGGTGAGGAATCAGCCCAGAACTACACGGGAGGATCTTGTCAATGATCTCAAGGCAGCTGGGACCATAGTCACCAAGAAAACAACTGGTAACACACTACGCCGTGAAGGACTGAAATCCTGCAGCGCCCGCAAGGTCCCCCTGCTCAAGAAAGCACATATACCGAGCCTTCTGAAGTTTGCCAATGAACAACCTTCCCAAGTTCTCTCACGTCACCCCGCTCCTCCGCACACTCCACTGGCTTCCAGTTGAAGCTCGCATCTGCTTCAAGACCATGGTGCTTGCCTACGGAGCTGTGAGGGGAACGGCACCTCCGTACCTTCAGGCTCTGATCAGTCCCTACACCCAAACGAGGGCACTGCGTTCATCCACCTCTGGCCTGCTGGCTCCCCTACCTCTGCGGAAGCATAGTTCCCGCTCAGCCCAGTCAAAACTGTTCGCTGCTCTGGTACCCCAATGGTGGAACAAGCTCCCTCACGACGCCAGGACAGCGGAGTCACTCACCACCTTCCGGAGACATATGAAACCCCACCTCTTTAAGGAATACCTGGGATAGGATAAAGTAATCCTTCTACCCCCCGCCCCCTTTACTCCAACCCCCCCCCCCCCCCCAAAAAAAAAAAAAAAAAAACTTTGTAAAGTGGTTATCCCACTGGCTATAAGGTGAATGCACCTATTTGTAAGTCGCTCTGGATAAGAGCGTCTGCTAAATGACGTAAATGTAATGTAAATGTAAACATCTGAATGATTCAGAAGAGAACTGGGTGAAAGTGTTGTGGTCAGATGAGACCAAAATCGAGCTCTTTGGCATCAACTCATCTCGCCGTGTTTGGAGGAGGAGGAATGCTGCCTATGACCCTAAGAACACCATCCCCACCGTCAAACATGGAGGTGGAAACATTATGCTTTGGGGGTGTTTTTCTGCTAAGGGGACAGGACAACTTCACCGCATCAAAGGGACGATGGACGGGGCCATGTACAGCCATGTACAGAACCTCCTTCCCTCAGCCAGGGCATTGAAAATGGGTCGTGGATGGGTATGCCAGCATGACAATGACCCAAAACACACGGCCAAGGCAACAAAGGAGTGGCTCAAGAAGAAGCACATGAAGGTCCTGAAAAAAACAATTAACCTGAATTAGGGCCAGACTAGTTACCATCATTTTCAATTGTCTCTTTTTGGTCCATTTAGATTGTTAATGTAGATTGGATACAAAAATATGTAAAAAATGTAATTGTTAAAAATGTTCATGTTTTACTGTGACTTGTTGTAGGCTCCTAAGTGGACCATAAGGTTAAAAACCAAACCAAACTTAAGAAAAATAAACTTAAAAAAATAAAAAAAATAAGTAACTCCGCCAGTGTCTCTTTTGGGTCACTTTTGCCGGTCCCAAGCCAAGATAAAAGAGGAGGGTTGGAATAGTGACATAAAAAAAAATCGACAGAAGAAAGTTTATTTGTAGTTCTAAACATATTTAGTGTGTTTTTTTACTCACTTTTTGTCTCTCCCACGACGTTACCTCTCTCCTACAACGTCCATCACAATTACGTGCACATGGCCAATTATGTAAATTCCTTGACTTTTAGACAGCCAACAGCTACTTCCCTTACTGAGGAGGTGGGAGACCTGCGGAAGGCAGTAAGACGCAACACAGCGGTCAGTCCGCCGGAAATTCACACGAAGAAGAAGAATTTGGGAGTCAGTCTGAAAACAGCCTACTGGTCGCTGGCTGGAGATTTTACGTTTATCCTGAAGGAAAGTACCTTGCTTCGTGGTGAATGAGCAGGTAAGGACATGGTCGTACTAACGTCGTTAGCTACTACCCACAGATAGTTTGCTACTAGCAAGTGTTATGGTTAGTTAGTTGGCTAAAAACACCGAAGTAGCTAGCTAGCTAACGTTAGCTGATAGCAAACGTAAGGTAGCTAGCTAAATCGGGGGAGGTGGTTTTGCTTGTCACGAGATGGTTGCATCATTAGATATCAAGCAAACCCACTGTCAGTGTAACGTTAGCTAACTTAGTAAAATAGTGGTACTAACTAGCTAGCTACTAGCCTCAATGTTTTAGTTAGTTAACTTGCTAATGCTGGGGCGGTAACCGTTGCTTACATGACCTGCTGCACCTGCAACTGTCTCGTTAGCAACTTGAAGTAGGTGTATTGTATAAACTAGGTATTGCAGTTATCGCACAAGTAAGTATACTGTCCTTCAGGTTAGCCTCAGCTCTCAGGCTTCACTCGCGTTCAAAATAAAATGAGGTATGAATAGAGATTGACTGCATAAACGTTAGATTTGTATATATTTTTTTCCATCCATCAAATACTAAAAAAGAAAACAACATGAGCTGTGCTTGAAGTAGTTTGTACAATGGAACTAAAATGAAATGGCTCCAAAGGTTCATAGAGCGCAACTCAAACACTTTTGTTGTCCCCTGTAGCTCAGTTGGTAGAACATGGCGCTTGCAACGCCAGGGTTGTGGGTTCGTTTCCCACGGGGGGACCAGTATAAAAAAATGTATGCACTCACTAAGTCGCTCTGGATAAGAGCGTCTGCTAAATGACTAAAATGTAAATGTAAGTAGAACTTACTAACGCTTGTTAGTAGTGTTAACTAGCTAACGTTGGCGTAGCAACATAACTAGCTAGCTATCTAGCTAACGTTAGTCTGTCATCTTCTGTTTTTTTCCCCAGATCTCTTGGGACGGTTTAATTCCTCCGGCTTAGGGGTGTTTTAAAACTAGCAGTATGTTTGGGAAGAAGAAGAGGGCTCCATTGCCAAAGGGCCAGGGCGCAGCTGCAGCCAAACAGGTGAGGGACACATCCCCTGTGTTTGTGGCATGACGTAACATGACAACGAGGAGGCTGGCTGGCTAACATGACAACTGGCTGGTTAACCTCTCTCACACACACATACTAGCTATCCTATCTCACTGTTCACCATCCTTGGTTCCAGATGGGTTTGTTTTTGGACTTCAACCCAGAGGAGATGACTCAGGACATGGATGATCCAACTGTGGATGATGCTGATCTAGAGGCCGAGTTATCAGCTCTCACAGGGGGAAAGCCTACCGCAGGGAGGCTAAAGCAGAAAGGTACGTCTCCACACACTTGAGGCAACTATACAGCCTTCAGAAAGTATTCATACCCCTTGACTTTCTCACCCATCTACGCACAATACCCCATAATGACAAAGTGACATTTACATTTTAGTCATTTAGCAGACGCTCTTATCCAGAGCGACTTACAGGAGCAATTAGGGTTAAGTGCCTTGCTCAAGGGCACATCGACAGATTTTCCACCTAGTCGGCTCGGGGATTAGAACCAGCGACCTTTCGGTTACTGGCACAACGCTCTTACCCACTAAGCTACCTGCGTTTGTAGAAATTGTAGCAAATGTATTTTAAATGAAATACAGATATATCTCCTCTACATAAGTATTCACACCTGTGGCGATGAAAGCTTTGAGGCTCCTTGGGTATGTATATCAGCTTTGCCCATCTGGATTTGAGGATTTTCTCCCATTCTTCCTTGCAGATTTTCTGAAGCTCTGTTAAGTTAGATGGGGAGCGGCGGTGAATAGCAATCTTCAAGTCTTTCCATAGCTTTTCAATGGGATTTAAGTCTGGGCTTTCCAGCGTCGCTTTGGCGGTATGCTTGGGGTCATTGTCCTGTTGGAATGTAAATCTTTGCCCCAGCTGCAATGACTCCAACCAAACGCTTCCTGTAGTTGTTGATCAGTCTCTCACGTTGCTGTGGAGGAATTTTGGCCCACTCTTCCACGCAGAACTGCTTTAACTCAGTGACGTGTGGGTTTTCAAGCATGAACTGCTAGTTTCAAATCCTGCCACAACATCTCAATTGGGATTAGGTCTGGACTTTGACTAGGCCATTCCAAAACGTCCAATTTGTTGCTTTTTAGCAATTTTCATGTAGACTTGATTGTGTGTTTTGGATCATTGTCTTGCTGCATGACCCAGCTGCGCTTCAGCTCACAGACGGATGGCCTGACATTCTCCTGTAGAATTCTCTGATACAGAGCAGAATTCATGGTTCCTTCTATTAAGGCAAGTCGACCAGGTCCTGAGGCAGCGAAGCATCCCCAAACCATCACACCACCACCACCATGCTTGACCTTTGGTATGATGTTCTTACTGTGGAATGCAGAGTGTGATTTTCACCAGGCATTACTGGAACCATGTCGTACAAAAATGTATACTTTTGAATCATCTGTCCATAGAACGTTCTTCCAAGAGTCTTGATGATCATCCAGGTGCTTTTTGGCAAACTTGAGTCAACTTTTTGGTCGAGATTGGTCCCATTATGCCTGGCGAAAACCAAACACTGCATTCCACAGTAAGAACATCATACCAAAGGTCAAGCATGGTGGTGGTAGTGTGATGGTTTGGGGATGCTTTGCTGCCTCAGGACCTGGACGACTTGCCTTAATAGAAGGAACCATGAATTCTGCTCTGTATCAGAGAATTCTACAGGAGAATGTCAGGCCATCCGTCTGTGAGCTGAAGCGCAGCTGGGTCATGCAGCAAGACAATGATCCAAAACACACAATCAAGTCTACATGAAAATTGCTAAAAAGCAACAAATTGGACGTTTTGGAATGGCCTAGTCAAAGTCCAGACCTAATCCCAATTGAGATGTTGTGGCAGGATTTGAAACTAGCAGTTCATGCTTGAAAACCCACACGTCACTGAGTTAAAGCAGTTCTGCGTGGAAGAGTGGGCCAAAATTCCTCCACAGCAACGTGAGAGACTGATCAACAACTACAGGAAGCGTTTGGTTGGAGTCATTGCAGCTAAAGGTGGCACAACCAGTTATTGAGTGTAAGGGGGCAGTTACTTTTTCACACAGGGGAATTGGGTGTTGCATAACTTTGTTTATGAAATAAATATGTAATTGTTGTGTTTAATTGTTCACTTATGTTCCCTTTATCTAATATTAGGTTTTGGTTGAAGATCTGATAACATTCAGTATCACAAATATGCAAAAGTAGAGAAAATTAGAAAGGGGGCAAATACTTTTTCATAGCACTATGTGTAGATGGGTGACAGAAAAATTAAATGTAATACATTTTGAAGTCAGGCTGTAACACAACAAAATGTGTAATAAGTCCAGGGGTATGGATACTTTCTGAAGGCACCGTATATGTATTTTAAATATGTCAAATAAAATCCATTAATTCATTTAATGAGAAAATGTCTACGTTTTTAATTAGCGATGAAATCCTCATTAGGGAACAGTGCCACTGTATGTCCCACCACCTTTAATGTTTTTGTTGTGTTGATGAACGGAGGTGAGGAGCGTCAAGCAGCGTGGTAAAAACATTACTCTTTGGAGGATCATAGGTCATCCACACTCTACCTCCTTGTAATCACATCTTTTTTTTTTTTTATCGCAAGATGAACCCCCTGTTAATTTATAAATGTATCCCGCTGATTACTTCACTGATACGTCTCATTCATTGATATGTCTCCCTGTCCTAGCCCCCTTACCTATGGAGAATATAGCCAGAATGGCAGAGGAGTGTATGAAGGAGATATACCATGATGATGAGGATGATGACGACCTGGAAGATGATGAAGATTTACTGGTAACTGTTTTGGGTTTAGCTCAATCTATTTTTGATGATCCTTTACTTATTTTGATGGTGTTTGTGTGTGACTGACAGTTTGTGTGTGTGTGCGTACGACTGACTGTGTTGTGTGTCGCTGTGTCGCGTTCACCCTGTGATAAACACGTTGTTTTTTGCCTGACTGCCTGTTACCAGGCTGAGCTGCAGGAAGTAGTGGCCGATGAGGAAACGGAGGATGATGTGACCCCCACCTCCCCGGAAGAGACGCCACGATCACCACCACAGGTAACTCACATCTCCTGCCTACAGAAACGCACACTAAAAGTTGTATCTGCAATGCCAGCGTGTGACTTTAGATTCGACAGTGTTAGCTGTGTGTATGAAATACTGAAGCATACAATAAGTATTATGGTCTTGTTACTCACATCACTAATCAGAGTAGCATCAACTACATGCAAACAGCACTTCATTTCGATTTTCAACAGACTCTGGCAAACAAGTGGAGTGAAATACTATTTTACGATACTAGAATGTGTGAATCCTCTTTCACTTATGTCACAATACTGGATTTTGTCAGTTTGAAATGGCTGAACTTAATAGTAGCACATGAAATAGACTGCTTGTGTTAGTTTGTATAAGGTATAATAGTAGCACATGAAATAGACTGCTTGTGTTAGTTTGTATAAGGTATAATAGTAGCACATGAAATAGACTGCTTGTGTTAGTTTGTATAAGGTATAATAGTAGCACATGAAATAGACTGCTTGTGTTAGTTTGTATAAGGTATAATAGTAGCACATGAAATAGACTGCTTGTGTTAGTTTGTATAAGGTATAATAGTAGCACATGAAATAGACTGCTTGTGTTAGTTTGTATAAGGTATAATAGTAGCACATGAAATAGACTGCTTGTGTTAGTTTGTATAAGGTATAATAGTAGCACATGAAATAGACTGCTTGTGTTAGTTTGTATAAGGTATAATAGTAGCACATGAAATAGACTGCTTGTGTTAGTTTGTATAAGGTATAATAGTAGCACATGAAATAGACTGCTTGTGTTAGTTTGTATAAGGTATAATAGTAGCACATGAAATAGACTGCTTGTGTTAGTTTGTATAAGGTATAATAGTAGCACATGAAATAGACTGCTTGTGTTAGTTTTGTATAAGGTATAATAGTAGCACATGAAATAGACTGCTTGTGTTAGTTTGTATAAGGTATAATAGTAGCACATGAAATAGACTGCTTGTGTTAGTTTGTATAAGGTATAATAGTTAGCACATGAAATAGACTGCTTGTGTTAGTTTGTATAAGGTATAATAGTAGCACATGAATAGACTGCTTGTGTTAGTTTGTATAAGGTATAATAGTAGCACATGAAATAGACTGCTTGTGTTAGTTTGTATAAGGTATAATAGTAGCACATGAAATAGACTGCTTGTGTTAGTTTGTATAAGGTATAATAGTAGCACATGAAATAGACTGCTTGTGTTAGTTTGTATAAGGTATAATAGTAGCACATGAAATAGACTGCTTGTGTTAGTTTTGTATAAGGTATAATAGTAGCACATGAAATAGACTGCTTGTGTTAGTTTGTATAAGGTATAATAGTAGCACATGAAATAGACTGCTTGTGTTAGTTTGTAGAAGGTATAATAGTAGCACATGAAATAGACTGCTTGTGTTAGTTTGTAGAAGGTATAATAGTAGCACATGAAATAGACTGCTTGTGTTAGTTTGTAGAAGGTATAATAGTAGCACATGAAATAGACTGCTTGTGTTAGTTTGTAGAAGGTATAATAGTAGCACATGAAATAGACTGCTTGTGTTAGTTTGTAGAAGGTATAATAGTAGCACATGAAATAGACTGCTTGTGTTAGTTTGTAGAAGGTATAATAGTAGCACATGAAATAGACTGCTTGTGTTAGTTTGTAGAAGGTATAATAGTAGCACATGAAATAGACTGCTTGTGTTAGTTTGTAGAAGGTATAATAGTAGCACATGAAATAGACTGCTTGTGTTAGTTTGTATAAGGTATAATAGTAGCACATGAAATAGACTGCTTGTGTTAGTTTGTAGAAGGTATAATAGTAGCACATGAAATAGACTGCTTGTGTTAGTTTGTAGAAGGTATAATAGTAGCACATGAATAGACTGCTTGTGTTAGTTTGTATAAGGTATAATAGTAGCACATGAAATAGACTGCTTGTGTTAGTTTGTAGAAGGTATAATAGTAGCACATGAAATAGACTGCTTGTGTTAGTTTGTAGAAGGTATAATAGTAGCACATGAAATAGACTGCTTGTGTTAGTTTGTAGAAGGTATAATAGTAGCACATGAAATAGACTGCTTGTGTTAGTTTGTAGAAGGTATAATAGTAGCACATGAAATAGACTGCTTGTGTTAGTTTGTAGAAGGTATAATAGACTGCTTGTGTTAGTTTGTAGAAGGTATAATAGACTGCTTGTGTTAGTTTGTAGAAGGTATAATAGACTGCTTGTGTTAGTTTGTAGAAGGTATAATAGACTGCTTGTGTTAGTTTGTAGAAGGTATAATAGACTGCTTGTGTTAGTTTGTAGAAGGTATAATAGACTGCTTGTGTTAGTTTGTATAAGGTATAATAGTAGCACATGAAATAGACTGCTTGTGTTAGTTTGTATAAGGTATAATAGTAGCACATGAAATAGACTGCTTGTGTTAGTTTGTATAAGGTATAATAGACTGCTTGTGTTAGTTTGTAGAAGGTATAATAGACTGCTTGTGTTAGTTTGTAGAAGGTATAATAGACTGCTTGTGTTAGTTTGTAGAAGGTATAATAGACTGCTTGTGTTAGTTTGTAGAAGGTATAATAGACTGCTTGTGTTAGTTTGTAGAAGGTATAATAGACTGCTTGTGTTAGTTTGTAGAAGGTATAATAGACTGCTTGTGTTAGTTTGTAGAAGGTATAATAGACTGCTTGTGTTAGTTTGTAGAAGGTATAATAGACTGCTTGTGTTAGTTTGTAGAAGGTATAATAGAATAGACTGCTTGTGTTAGTTGTAGAAGGTATAATAGACTGCTTGTGTTAGTTTGTAGAAAGGTATAATAGACTGCTTGTGTTAGTTTGTAGAAGGTATAATAGACTGCTTGTGTTAGTTTGTAGAAGGTATAATAGACTGCTTGTGTTAGTTTGTAGAAGGTATAATAGACTGCTTGTGTTAGTTTGTAGAAGGTATAATAGACTGCTTGTGTTAGTTTGTAGAAGGTATAATAGACTGCTTGTGTTAGTTTGTAGAAGGTATAATAGACTGCTTGTGTTAGTTTGTATAAGGTATAATAGACTGCTTGTGTAGTTGGTAATAGACTGCTTGTGTTAGTTGTAGAATGTATAATAGACTGCTTGTGTTAGTTTGTAGAAGGTATAATAGACTGCTTGTGTTAGTTTGTAGAAGGTATAATAGACTGCTTGTGTTAGTTTGTAGAAGGTATAATAGACTGCTTGTGTTAGTTTGTAGAAGGTATAATAGACTGCTTGTGTTAGTTTGTAGAAGGTATAATAGACTGCTTGTGTTAGTTTGTAGAAGGTATAATAGACTGCTTGTGTTAGTTTGTAGAAGGTATAATAGACTGCTTGTGTTAGTTTGTAGAAGGTATAATAGACTGCTTGTGTTAGTTTGTAGAAGGTATAATAGACTGCTTGTGTTAGTTTGTAGAAGGTATAATAGACTGCTTGTGTTAGTTTGTAGAAGGTATAATAGACTGCTTGTGTTAGTTTGTAGAAGGTATAATAGACTGCTTGTGTTAGTTTGTAGAAGGTATAATAGACTGCTTGTGTTAGTTTGTAGAAGGTATAATAGACTGCTTGTGTTAGTTTGTAGAAGGTATAATGTTGTTGCTTATCACTCAGATAATGTGACTCACTCAGACTCTGTCTTTTAACCCGGCTTACATTTTTTACATTTTTTGTAATTTAGACTTACATGAGCAACTAGGGTTAAGTGCCTTGCTCAAAGGCACATTGACAGATTTTTCACCTATGCTTGGGATTCGAACCAACAACCTTTTTGGTTACTGTATTTGTATTTATTATGGATCCCCTACTCTTCCTGGGGTCCAGCACAGTTAAGGCAGTTATACATTTTAAAAACATTACAATACATTCATAACAGATTTCACAATATATTAAGTGTGTACCCTCAGGCCTCTACTCTACTACCGCATACAGTGAATTCGGAAAGTATTCAGACCCCTTGACTTTTTCCACATTTTGTTAAGTTACAGCCTTATTCTAAAATTGATTATTGTTTTTTCCCCCCCTCATCAATCTACACACAATACCCCGTAATGACAAAGCAAAAACAGGTTTGTAGAATTTTTTTGCAAATGTACAAAAAAAACAACTGAAATGACATTTTCATAAGTATTCAGACCCTTTACTCAGTACTTTGTTGAAGCACCTTTGGCAGCGATTACAGCCTCAAATCTTCTTGGGTATGATGCTGTTTTAGTTTTGTCATTATGGGGTATTGTGTGTAGATTGATGAGGGAAAACATTTATTTAATCCATTTTAGAATAAGGCCGTAACGTAACAAAATGTGGAAGAAGGGGTCTGAATACTTTCTGAATGCACTGTATCTATAACACACAATCCATGTGTACAAGTGTGTATGTTATCGTGTGTTTGTATGCAAGTGTCTGTGTCTCTTCACAGTCCCCGCTGTTCCGTAAGGTGTATTTTTATCTGTTTTTTAAATCTTATTTTACTGCTTGCATCAGTTACCTGATGTGGAATAGAGTTCCATGTAGTCATGGCTCTATGTAGTACTGTGCGCCTCCCATAGTCTGTTCTGGACTTGGGGACTGTGACGAGACCTCTGGTGGCGTGTCTTGTGGGGTATGCATGGGTGTCCGAGCTGTGTGCCAGTAGTACAAACAGACAGCTCGGTGCATTCAACATGTCAAATAGTGATGAAGTCAATCTCTCCTCCATTTTGTTAGCGCTCTGTGTACATCTAAGGGCCAGCCGTGCTGCCCTGTCCTGAGCCAATTGCAATTTTCCCAAGTCCCTCTTTGTGGCACCTGGCCACACGACTGAACTGTAGTCCAGGTGCGACAAAACTAGGGCCTGTAGGACCTGCCTTGTTGATAGAGTTGTGAAGGCAGAGCAACACTTTATTATAGACAGACTTCTCCCCATCCTAGATATTGTTGTATCAACATGTTTTGACCATAACAGTTTACAATCCAGGGTTACTCCAAGCAGTTTAGTCTCCTCAACTTGCTCAATTTCCACATTATTCATTACAAGACCTAGTTGAGGTTTAGTTAATGTTTTGTCCCAAATACAATGCTTTAAAAAATATATTTATTTTTATTGGGTAGATCAGCTTTAATATTACAGATTGTAACTTCCAATCCCCCATGTTTTTTTTTTCTCGCAAATATATATCTCTCTCCTTTAAAAAAATATATTTCCTTTTATTACTTTCCAACCCCACCACCCCTTCCCTAATTGGAGTAAACTAGTGAACAACAACGCTTAGGCCTCTACTTCCAGCTTATACATACTATATACATTTTATGGACACAGTCAATTTTACAATAATTCTATTTTGTTTGTTTTTACTCCTGAACTTCCTCTACCCTCAACCTCTCCGATCATTTTCATGATGTCCATCTGGTTTGCTTCTATATGCCATATCTTTCTAACTGTGCTCTTTCACAAAAGCTCTCAACCTATAACCTATATACTTGCTTTTAGTTTTTGAAATATTTAGGAATAACTTATTCCTTGCCACCCATTCTGAAACGAACTGCAACTCTTTATTAAGTGTTGCAGTTATTTCAGTTGCTGTAGTAGCTGACGTGTATACTGTTGAGTCATCCGCATACATAGACACACTGGCTTTACTCAAAGCCAGTGGCATGTCGTTAGTAAAGATTGAAAAAAGTAAGGGGCCTAGACAGCTGCCCTGGGGAATTCCTGATTCTACCTGGATTATGTTGGAGAGGCTTCCATTAAAGAACACCCTCTGTGTTCTGTTAGACAGGTAACTCTTTATCCACATTCTAGCAGGTGGAGTAAAGCCATAACACATACGTTTTTCCAGCAGCAGACTATGATTGATAATGTCAAAAGCCGCACTGAAGTCTAACAAAACAGCTTCCACAATCTTTTTATCATCCATTTCTCTCAGCCAATCATCAGTCATTTGTGTAAGTGCTGTGCTTCTTGAATGTCCTTCCCTATAAGCATGCTGAAAGTCTGTTGTCTATTTGTTTACTGTGAAATAGCATTGTATCTGGTCAAACACAATTTTTCCCAATAGTTTACTAAGGGTTGGTAACAGGCTAATTGGTCGGCTATTTGAGCCAGTAAAGGGGGCTTTACTATTCTTAGGTAGCGGAATGACTTTTGCTTCCCTCCAGGCCTGAGGGCACACACTTTCTAGTAGGCTTAAATTGAAGATATGGCAAATAGGAGTGGCAATATCGTCCACTATTATCCTCAGTAATTTTCCATCCAAGTTGTCAGACCCCGGTGGCCTGTCATTGTTGATAGACAACAATACTTTTTTTCACCTCTTCCACACTTACTTATGTCTTTCAGAAAGCTCCAAAGCTTTTTATTATAATTCTTTGTTATTTATCTTTGTTTCATGGTGTAGTTTCTTCTTTTTTTATTCGGTTTAGTCACATGATTTCTCAATTTGCAGCACGTTTGCCAATCGGTTGTGCAGCCAGACTTATTTGCCATCTCTTTTGTCTCATCCCTCTCAACCATACCATTTTTTAATTCCTCATCAATCCACTGGGATTTAACAGTTTTTACAGTCATTTTCTTAATGGGTGCATGCTTATTAGTAACTGGGATAAGCGATTTCATAAATGTGTCAAGTGCAGCGTCTGGTTGCTCGTCATTACACACATGCAGACCAGCAAATATTCTTCACATCAACAACATAGGAATCACTACAAAACGTATTGTATGACCTCTTATACACTATATTAGGCCCAGCCTTTGGAACTTTGGTTTTCCTAGATATGGCTACTATATTGTGATCACTACATCCGATGGATCTGGATACTGCTTTCAAACACATTTCTGCAGCATTAGTAAAGATGTGATCAATACATGTTGAGGATTTCATTCCTGTACTGTAATTTTTTGTCTTTTTTTTTGTTTTGGGGGTAGATCAGCTTAAAATTGCAGATTGTAACTTCTATCAATGTAATTGTCTGCATCACTTCCAATCCCCCATGTTTTTTATATATATACTCCCCTTTATTACTTTTCAACCCTGCCATCCTTTCCCTACTTGGGGTAAATTAGTGAATAACAATGCCCAGGCCTCTACTTCCAGCCTATTCTTACTATCTACACCTTATGGACACAGTCAATTTCCTGTACTGTTTGTAACTACCCTGGTAGGTTGATTGATAACCTGAACCAGGTTACAGGCACTAGTTACAGTTTGAAGGTTTCTCTTGAGTGGGCAGCCTGATGAAAGCCAGTCAATATTTAAATCACCCAGAAAGTATACCTCTCTATTGATATCACATACATTATCAAATCAGAATCAGTGTTGTACCCTGGGCTTCCCATTTCTTTTTCCAACTCAGAAGGTCACATACAGTGCCTTCAGAAAGTATTCACACCCCTTGACTTTTTAAACATTTTGTTGTGTTACAGCCTGAATTTTAAATTGATTAAATGTCACTGGCCTACACACACTACCCCATAATGTCAAAGTGGAATTATGTTTTTTGTTTATTTTACAAATTTAATGAAAAACTGAAATGTCTTGAGTTAATAAGTATTCAACCCATTTGTTATGGCAAGACTAAATTAGTTCAGGAATAAAAATGTGCTTAACAAGTCGCATAATACGTTTCATGGGCAATAGAAGTGTGTAACATGATTTTTGAATGACTACCTCATCTCTGTACGCCGCACATACAATTATCTGTAAGGTCCCTCAGTCGAGCAGTGAATTTCAAACACAGATCCAACCTCAAAGACCAGAGAGGTTTTGCAATGCCTCGCAAATAAGGACACCTATTGGTAGATGGGTAAAACAAAAAAAAGCAGACATTGAATATCCCTTTGAGCATGGTGGTTATTAATTACACTTTGGATGGTGTATCAATACACCCAGTCAATACAAAGATACAGGCGTCCTTCCTAAACTCAGTTGCCGTAGAGGAAAGAAACCATGTTTTCACTCATTATGGCATATTTTGTATAGATGGGTGAGATTAAAAATAAATGTAATCAATTTTGAAATCAGTCTGTAACACAACGTGCAATAAGTCAAGGGGTATGAATGCTTCCTGAATGCACTGTAACGTGTTGATTCAGGGGTATGAATGCTTCCTGAATGCACTGTAACGTGTTGATTCAGGGGTATGAATGCTTCCTGAATGCACTGTAACGTGTTGATTCAGGGGTATGAATGCTTCCTGAAGGCACTGTAACGTGTTGATTCAGGGGTATGAATGCTTCCTGAAGCCACTGTAACGTGTTGATTCAGGGGTATGAATGCTTCCTGAATGCACTGTAACGTGTTGATTCAGGGGTATGAATGCTTCCTGAATGCACTGTAACGTGTTGATTCAGGGGTATGAATGCTTCCTGAAGGCACTGTAACGTGTTGATTCAGGGGGTATGAATGCTTCCTGAATGCACTGTAACGTGTTGATTCAGGGGTATGAATGCTTCCTGAATGCACTGTAACGTGTTGATTCAGGGGTATGAATGCTTCCTGAAGGCACTGTAACGTGTTGATTCAGGGGTATGAATGCTTCCTGAAGGCACTGTAACGTGTTGATTCAGGGGTATGAATGCTTCCTGAATGCACTGTAACGTGTTGATTCAGGGGTATGAATGCTTCCTGAAGGCACTGTAACGTGTTGATTCATTTACATTTTAGTCATTTAGCAGACGCTCTTATCCAGAGCGACTTACAGGAGCAATTAGGGTTAAGTGCCTTGCTCAAGGGCACATTTACGTCATTTAGCAGACGCTCTTATCCAGAGCGACTCACCAATTGGTGCGTTCACCCTATAGCCAGTGGGATAACCACTTTACAATTTTGGGGGGGGGGGGGTAGAAGGATTACTTTATCCTATCCCAGGTATTCCTTAAAGAGGTGGGGTTTCAAATGTCTCCGGAAGGTGGTGAGTGACTCCGCTGTCCTGGCGTCGTGAGGGAGCTTGTTCCACCATTGGGGTGCCAGAGCAGCGAACAGTTTTGACTGGGCTGAGCGGGAACTATGCTTCCGCAGAGGAAGGGGAGGTAGCAGGCCAGAGGTGGATGAACGCAATGCCCTCGTTTGGGTGTAGGGACTGATCAGAGCCTGAAGGTACAGAGGTGCCGTTCCCCTCACTGCTCCATAGGCAAGCACCATGGTCTTGTAGCGGATGCGAGCTTCAACTGGAAGCCAGTGGAGTGTGCGGAGGAGGGGGGTGACGTGAGAGAACTTGGGAAGGTTGAACACCAGACGGGCTGCGGCATTCTGGATGAGTTGTAGGGGTTTAATGGCACAGGCAGGGAGGCCAGCCAACAGCGAGTTGCAGTAGTCCAGACGGGAGATGACAAGTGCCTGGATTAGGACCTGTGCCGCTTCCTGTGTAAGGCAGGGTCGTACTCTCCGAATGTTGTAGAGCATGAACCTGCAGGAGCGGGTCACCGCCTTGATGTTGGCGGAGAACGACAGGGTGCTTCCTGAAGGCACTGTGCTTCCTGGGTGCTTCCTGAAGGCACTGTAATGTGTTGATTCAGGGGTATGAATGCTTCCTGAAGGCACTGTAATGTGTTGATTCAGGGGTATGAATGCTTCCTGAATGCACTGTAACGTGTTGATTCAGGGGTATGAATGCTTCCTGAATGCACTGTAACGTGTTGATTCAGGGGTATGAATGCTTCCTGAAGGCACTGTAACGTGTTGATTCAGGGGTATGAATGCTTCCTGAAGGCACTGTAACGTGTTGATTCAGGGGTATGAATGCTTCCTGAATGCACTGTAACGTGTTGATTCAGGGGTATGAATGCTTCCTGAATGCACTGTAACGTGTTGATTCAGGGGTATGAATGCTTCCTGAATGCACTGTAACGTGTTGATTCAGGGGTATGAATGCTTCCTGAAGGCACTGTAACGTGTGTATTATCAGAAACCTGTATATACAATACTTCACAGTACACATGAACACTGTATTATCAGAAACCTGTATATACAATACTTCACAGTACACATGAACACTGTATTATCAGAAACCTGTATATACAATACTTCACAGTACACATGAACACTGTATTATCAGAAACCTGTATATACAATACTTCACAGTACACATGAACACTGTATTATCAGAAACCTGTATATACAATACTTCACAGTACACATGAACACTGTATTATCAGAAACCTGTATATACAATACTTCACAGTACACATGAACACTGTATTATCAGAAACCTGTATATACAATACTTCACAGTACACATGAACGCTGTATTATCAAACTTGGTTGTTGTTGTTCTCATCAGGTCAGCAGGGCTCCTCCCGCAGTACCAGGCAGTCTGCAGAACACCTTAGAGGAGAGACTGACCATGTACCGGACAGCTGAAGCCAGCGCCAAGGCCTCAGGGGAGTCCTCTAAAGCACGGAGATACAACAGAGGGCTCCAGGTAGTGATGCCCTTTTTTGTAGATCACTACAAACTCTCTTTATGTCTGCTGTGTTTGTGTAGAGCTGGAGCAAAAAGGCCTGTACTCCTTGTTGCGCTCCAGAGCCTGTATTCACAACGCTTCTCACAGTAAGCACTGATCTACAATCAGTTTGCCCTTTTTTTTAATCATAATTAATAAGATATGGTCGGGAAGGACCTGATCCAAGATTGGCACAGTCTCCTACTCTGAGACAATCTGCTAATGGTCCTAGCAGGAGGGTTGACTACCTCTGAGCTAAAGTCCTAAAACCTCCGTCCCGTCTCGTTATCCTTGTGTGTTTCTCCACAGACCCTGGAGTCCATGCTGGTCTCATTGAAGAAGGGGAGGAAGGTGGATGAGGCTGATATCCCCCCACCTGTAGCCGGTGGAGCCCCCACCTCCACCGCCCCGCCCCCACGACGTGCTCCTCCCCCTCGACCCTCTGTTCCTGAACCGACACCTCCAGAACAGCAGGGGGAGCCAGAGGCTGCTGCTCCTGCTGAGTTGTTACCCGTCTCCCCTGAGGCAGTATCACCCAGCAGTGAGGAGGAGCTGTCATCTACCGCCACCCTGGCCACTGTCAGCAGCACGGAGGAGGAGGAGACTGGGCAGGCCAGCACAGGTCACACAGGAAGTCAATCAATAAATGATTATGTTACTGCTGTGACTCACAAGTCAGTCAAGAATTTCAATCAATCAACAGTTATTTTTTTTACCATGTAGACACCTGCAATATACCACCAATTTTAGATAAATGACACAGTAAACAAGAATCACCTGCCTCCAACCAAATTAATTAATTAATTTCATTAATTAATTAATTTTAAAATCTGAAAGTCAACAGGAAGTACACTACACTCCTGGATGTGTTATGAATGCTGTCTTTCTTTTGTTTGTGTGTGTTTTGTTCTCATCAGATGAGCCCACAGTAGGCGACGCCACCAAGGCGATGCTGTTAGGCAGACAGAGAGAGTATAAGGTGGCAGCTCTGAAAGCCAAGCAGCAAGGAGACATGGAACAAGTCAAGCTCTACTTCAGGACCAGCAAGGTCACATTTTTTTTATGTGTTGGTGATCAAAAAGTATCACTTTTTTTTTCTTCTGTTAGAATGTAAAGGATAGGCATATAGCTTAGGGACTGACAGGAATAAGCAAGTGGATGAATGTATTATCTTTTGGAGATGAGCCTGATAAACGTTGTTTTGGAGATGAGCCTGATAAACGTTGTTTTGGAGATGAGCCTGATAAACGTTGTTTTGGAGATGAGCCTGATGAATGTTGTTTTGGTCTATCCACTATTTACAACTCTAGCAGTTATCTTACAAAGTGATGCATGGAGAGTATTAACAGCAACCTTATTGCCTACTGTAGAAGATGGAGGAGAGAGGTGTTCTCTGGGTTAACTAAGGCAGCTGGAGGAGAGAGGTGTTCTCTGGGTTAACTAAGGCAGCTGGAGGAGAGAGGTGTTATCTGGGTTAACTAAGGCAGCTGGAGGAGAGAGGTGTTCTCTGGGTTAACTAAGGCAGCTGGAGGAGAGAGGTGTTCTCTGTGTGTTAACTAGGGCAGCTGGAGGAGAGAGGTGTTCTCTGGGTTAACTAAGGTAGCTGGAGGAGAGAGGTGTTCTCTGTGTGTTAACTAGGGTAGCTGGAGGAGAGAGGTGTTCTCTGTGTGTTAACTAGGGCAGCTGGAGGAGAGAGGTGTTCTCTGTGTGTTAACTAGGGCAGCTGGAGGAGAGGGGTGTTCTCTGGGTTAACTAAGGCAGCTGGAGGAGATAGGTGTTATCTGGGTTAACTAAGGCAGCTGGAGGAGAGAGGTGTTCTCTGGGTTAACTAAGGCAGCTGGAGGAGAGAGGTGTTATCTGGGTTAACTAAGGCAGCTGGAGGAGAGAGATGTTCTCTGTGTTAAGGTAGCTGGAGGAGAGAGGTGTTCTGTGTGTTGACTAAGGTAGCTGGAGGAGAGAGGTGTTCTCTGGGTTAACTAAGGCAGCTGGAGGAGAGGGGTGTTCTCTGTGTGTTAACTAAGGCAGCTGGAGGAGAGAGGTGTTCTCTGGGTTAAGGCAGCTGGAGGAGAGAGGTGTTCTCTGGGTTAAGGCAGCTGGAGGAGAGAGGTGTTCTCTGGGTTAACTAAGGCAGCTGTATTTTGCTTTCTCTTTCTCTCTGTCCTGTTCCTTACTGAAGTCCCTGGAGTTATGAGTTATGCAAAACATGTAGGAAGTCAACAAAGGCTGCCATTGTGATATCTTGTTGTCTGTGTTTTTGGTTGCAGAGGTTCGACGCGGTGATCGAAGCGTTGGATAAGGGCCTGGAGGTGGACCTGAGTTGCCTGCCACCCTCACTATCCACGGGTAAGGATTGACCACAGGACTGATCTGAAATGGCACCCTATTCCCTATAAAGTGCACTACTTTAGAACAGAGAATGGCACCCTATTCCCTATGTAGTGCACTACTTTAGACCAGAGAATGGCACCCTATTCCCTATAAAGTGCACTACTTTAGAACAGAGAATGGCACCCTATTCCCTATATAGTGCACTACTTTAGACCAGAGAATGGCACCCTAGTCCCTATATAGTGCACTACTTTAGACCAGAGAATGGCACCCTATTCCCTATATAGTGCACTACTTTAGACCAGAGAATGGCACCCTATTCCCTATATAGTGCACTACTTTAGACCAGAGAATGGCACCCTAGTCCCTATGTAGTGCTTATCAGAAGTAGTGTACTATGTAGGGTGTAGGCCGTCATTGTAAATAAGAATTTGTTCTTAACTGACTGACTTGCCTAGTTAAATAAAGGTTAAATAAAAAATAGAGCCATTTTGGACAAAGTGGAGTCAAAGTTGTCAGTCTCTAAGACGTTGTTGTTGTTTGATTTCTTTCCTTTTTTTTTTTTTTTTTTTACTATTTGAAGTCAACATTTATTATCCGTTGCTCTGTCTTTAGGGGTCATCTCGGCCTTGTCTGGCCCAGAAAAAGAGACTGGTCCTGGACAGACCTCGAGCCCCAATCCCCCTGCCTCCACACCTCCAGCCCCCTCTGGTCCCCCTGCCCAGCCTAAAGACGTGCTGGAGGCCCTGGAGCAGCGGAGAAACCGGTATCAGGAGGCCTGCGCCCAGGCCAAAGCCTGCGGGGACGACCGCAAGGCCCGCATGCACGAGCGCATCGCCAAGGTAACGCCTCCCAAGCCCTAACCGTAACCATGTAAAACAATCAATATCATTCTATCTGTATTGTGCTTCTTTACAAATATGTTTGTCACAAAGTGCAGAGACTTTTCATTTATCTGCATGTCCAGCCCTCCTCATAATGAAGTGTTTTACCATTTTATTTTCAGGATAACCAGGGCGACAACAGTTGTATTGACAAATGTCCCCCCAAAAAAGCCTGATCAAAATGCATGTGTATGAATGCTGTAAGAACACAAAATGGTCTGCTCAGTGGGAAATGAATATCCAACTAGTCAGTGACAACTGTTTGGAGTTTGTGACGGCAACTGTGAGCTTATTACAAACATCCAAAACGTTACAGTGGGACTCATTGGCTTGCAATCCAGGCCTAAAACCCTATCACCTTTGACCTCTGGTTATTAGATGACTATGATATGACCCTTGACCTGTTCCCACAGCAATACCAGAGTGCCATCCGCGCCCACAAAGCAGGACGTGCTGTCAACTATGACGAGCTGCCTGTCCCTCCAGGTGAGTAAACGATTTAATATGGTCACATGTATTCAGTATAGTACTGTTGTAGAAGTAGACTAGTGTCCTGTCCAGGGGGTGGACTGGTACATCAAGCTGTCTCACTACAGAAACAGGAGATAGACTAGTGTCCTGTCCAGGGGGTGTACTGGTACATCAAGCTGTCTCACTACAGAAACAGGAGATAGACTAGTGTCCTGTCCAGGGGGTGTACTGGTACATCAAGCTGTCTCACTACAGAAACAGGAGACAGACTAGTGTCCTGTCCAGGGGGTGTACTGGTACATCAAGCTGTCTCACTACAGAAACAGGAGATAGACTAGTGTCCTGTCCAGGGGGTGTACTGGTACATCAAGCTGTCTCACTACAGAAACAGGAGATAGACTAGTGTCCTGTCCAGGGGGTGTACTGTACATCAAGCTGTCTCACTACAGAAACAGGAGATAGACTAGTGTATGTAATAGCAGACTATTGTAGTTGTGTGTGTGTGTGTGTGTGATCCAATCACAATGACTTATCATCTGCATCCAACAGGGTTTCATCCAATCCCTGGCCAGGAAGGGGCGGGACCTGAGCAGGGATTCGCTGCCGTGCTGGAGGTAGCCAATAAGCTGGCATCTGAGGAAACCACAGCGACAGGAGAGAATGAGGAGGTAGACTATTCCTTCAATATAGTGCACTAGAAATGACACCCTATTCCCCTCTAGTGCACTACTAGTTACCCATTATTTTGCACTATAGCCTATTTATTGCCTTACCTCCATAACTTGCTACATTTGCACACACTGTATATATATTTTCTGTTGTATTTTTGACTTTATGTTTTGTTTTACCCCATATGTAACTCTGTGTTGTTTTTATTGCACTGCTTTGCTTTATCTTGGCCAGGTCGCAGTTGTAAATGAGAACCTGTTCTCAACTGGCTTACCTGGTTAAATAAAGGTGAAATAAAAATAAATAAAAAAGGCCTCTGTGTGGCTACCCTATGTTGCTCTGGTCAAAAGTAGTGCACTACAGTATAGGGGAAAAGGGTGTCGTTTGAGACTCGGGGTTAGTGTGTTGATTGACTGCTCCTGTTGACAGAGCAAGCCTCCTGTCCCTGAGAAGCCAAAGAAGCCCACGTTGGCTGTTCCTCCCACGACCCAGAGGCCCAAGAGGAGCGCCTCTCCCTCCGCAGACAGGACCCACCAGAGAGAGGGCCTGTCCTCTACAGGTCAGTCCCTACCCCCTAGCCCTATCTCTGGCCCCGTAATTGTTAGTTACATAGTCCGGGTAACTATTGGTTAACTATCTGCATTGACCCTTTTTGCACTAACTCTTTTGACTCATCACATACGCTGCTGTGACTGTTTATTATCTATCCTGTTGCCTAGTCACTTTATCCCTACCTATATGTACATATCTACCTTGTGCCCCTGCACATCCACTCTGTACTGGTTACTGGTTCAGGACCTTCCCTGGCTCCATGTACCAGCCTACCCCAACCCACACCACTCTGGACCTTCCCTGGCTCCATGTACCAGCCTACCCCAACCCACACCACTCTGGACCTTCCCTGGCTCCATGTACCAGCCTACCCCAACCCACACCACTCTGGACCTTCCCTGGCTCCATGTACCAGCCTACCCCAACCCACACCACTGGACCTTCCCTGGCTCCATGTACCAGCCTACCCCAACCCACACCACTCTGGATCTTCCCTGGCTCCATGTACCAGCCTACCCCAACCCACACCACTCTGGACCTTCCCTGGCTCCATGTACCAGCCTACCCCAACCCACACCACTCTGGACCTTCCCTGGCTCCATGTACCAAACTACCCCAACCCACACCACTCTGGACCTTCCCTGGCTCCATGTACCAGCCTACCCCAACCCACACCACTCTGGACCTTCCCTGGCTCCATGTACCAGCCTACCCCAACCCACACCACTCTGGACCTTCCTGGCTCCATGTACCAGCCTACCCCAACCCACACCACTCTGGACCTTCCCTGGCTCCATGTACCAAACTACCCCAACCCACACCACTCTGGACCTTCCCTGGCTCCATGTACCAGCCTACCCCAACCCACACCACTCTGGACCTTCCCTGGCTCCATGTACCAGCCTACCCCAACCCACACCACTCTGGACCTTCCCTGGCTCCATGTACCAGCCTACCCCAACCCACACCACTCTGGACCTTCCCTGGCTCCATGTACCAGCCTACCCCAACCCACACCACTCTGGACCTTCCCTGGCTCCATGTACCAGCCTACCCCAACCCACACCACTCTGGACCTTCCCTGGCTCCATGTACCAAACTACCCCATGTGTATATAGCTGGTACTAGGGCTGTTGCAGTGACCGTATTACCGCCCCACCGGCGGTCACGAGTCATGAAGGCAGTCAAATTCCACGTGACCGTTTAGTCACGGTAATTAGGCTTCTCCAAGCGCTGATGCTGCTGATGGTCATTAGTATCCTACCCAACTTGCTAACTGCCTGGTACTCAGCACTCTACTGTCCCTCTAATCACTCTGACATCAATGCAAATGTTATCAAAAATCTACTCAAACACTTAATGAGAGCCCATGAGCTCATGTTGAGCAACATTTCTATAGGCTACGCAATTGCGTGAGAAAACAGAGTGATGGCCTCTATTAAAAAGAGGAGGATCCCATCAGCTTTCTATAGGCTAGGCCTACTATATTTATTTCTCAATCTTCCTAATATTAAGCACATTGCTTATATTTACAACAGGAGTGTAGCCTACCTGGCTGGCATGAAAATGAACCACAGGAAAAGCATCCTCCATTCGCTATTTAAGTGCATAGATGACATATTTTTTTTCCGCTGCCCCTGTTTTGATACAGGTGCACGATAACGGTCCATTCTAAATCAAAACAAATTTCACACATACATTATTTAGTAAAGACAAGATTAAATCAAGAATAGTCTGATGGGTGTCAGTATTAGCCTATCACTAGTGAATTATATATTATCACTTGTGAATGATGCCCAGCTTAAGAAACAATACCTTATTTTTTGCGAGTTTTTCTAATCATAGTCGCACACCTCATGTAGCCTAGCTCATCGGCCTATATGTTTAAAATGAAGTACATTAATCCGCTTTACAAGGGGTTTAGAGCCTAACTGGCATACATAAGCAGCGCGTGAGTCAAGTTTGGGGAAGATAATTTTCACCATAAAAATTCACCTTTTATAATAAAAGCATTAATGCATAATTGCATTTGCGGTCACTTTTTTGATAATGGTGTTTTTCCTGCTAATTAAACATTCCCGCTTATAGCCTACTGCCGTGTGCACATCACTGAGCTTATAATGTGAAGAAATAGCCTAATAGTTTATCAACATTTTAAGCTAAACGTTCTGATCTGTTGCGTCAGCCTCATTGCGATCAAAAAGTTTTTTTATGCTAGTGGTTGTATTAATTTGGGATCTATCGCATCCCACAACTGTCCCAGACTATGTTTGGAATATTTATTTCTCTCACAGAATAGAATAGGTCGACTTTTGTACTATGGGGGATAGTAGATTGACATAGGCTAGTGATTTTGCTGTTCGTTAGGCCGACTCATCTTGTTGGCTGACGAAAAGTACATGTGGACAGTTCTTCCAATATCTTCAATATGCACTTCGGAATTGGATGTGTCTGTCTTCACTGGTAGCCTGTGAGAAAGACCAGATCACGTGATGGAGAGCCACGGGGGGGCCAGTATGAAAATGTATGCACTCACTTAACTGTAAGTCGCTCTGGATAAGAGCGTCTGCTAAATGACTAAAATGTGAGTGAGAGGTGATTTGGAGCGCGTAATACTCAGGGAGAAGGGCACAACTGCCACTGGCCATAAAGGCATGGATTTTTTTTTTTAGGGAACATTACGGCCTCACAATGGCGATACCGGCGTGAAATTCAAGGCATTATCAAGTGCTTGTCAAATTGAATGAGAGACTGATGGAGTGTGTACAGCCTAAACAACAAATCTGTGTTTGTGTTTTATATGATGAGTTTCTGGTATTGAGAAGTTCAGAATGCAAGAGAATACGTTACACAGATGGAGATTGGTTTCAGTCATCATTTAATGGTCACAATATTGGATTCAATGACGGGGTGGGTATGGACATAGCCCCCTGCCATCTGAATGACTTCCATACAACATCTCTCAGCTTATAGAAATGCACCTTCCAATCTACTTTTATCCCACACAGTTGCTACTAACCATTTATTGATTGTCACTCATCCACCACCATATCATCTACCTCCTTGGGATCCTGTGACACCCTAGCCAGGCCATTCCATCATCCACCTCCTTGGGATCCTGTGGCACCCTAGCCAGGCTATTCCATCATCCACCTCCTTGGGATCCTGTGGCACCCTAGCCAGGCTATTCCATCATCCACCTCCTTGGGATCCTGTGGCACCCTAGCCAGGCTATTCCATCATCCACCTCCTTGGGATCCTGTGACACCCTAGCCAGGCTATTCCATCACGCAACCCATCCTAAGATTAGCACCAGTGGCCCCCAATCTATCTTGGCCACACTCACCTTCTGTTACTCACTCGTGACACCAATAACACATGGTGTGTCCTTGTCCCGTCTCCCTCGCATACATCTTATGAGTTGTGCACACATTTTTTTAATGAATGTTGTATCACAAATCATCGTAACACAGAGCTCATGTGGAAGCCAGGAGATGCTAAATGTGTTTATGTTAATTAACGGTCAATTACTGTGAGACCGACAGTTATTTGCTTGACAGTCACCGGCTGACTACATTTGGTGGCCGCCCCAGCTGGTTCCCATGTTACTCAGCGTGTATTTATTTTTAGGCCCCGTGTAGCTCAGTTGGTAGAGCAATGCGCTTGCAACGCCAGGGTTGTGGGTTCGTTTCCCACAGGGGGCCAGTATGAAAATGTATGCACTCACTAACTGTAAGTCACTCTGGATAAGAGCGTCTGCTAAATGACTAAAATGTAAAAATGTATTCGTGTTTTTCTATTTCTCATTTTTCCTCTCTGTGTTATTGGAAAAGCATTTCACTGTTAGTCTACACTTGCTGTTTTACGAAACGTGACAAATACTATTGGGAAAAACAACCAGACTAGCATGCGGACTGATTAACTCCGAGAGAACAGCCAAGAGTCCTGTTAACTCCGAGAGAACAGCCAAGAGTCCTGTTAACTCCGAGAGAACAGCCAAGAGTCCTGTTAACTCCGAGAGAACAGCCAAGAGTCCTGTTAACTCCGAGAGAACAGCCAAGAGTCCTGTTAACTCCGAGAGAACAGCCAGTCAAGAGAAGACAGAGATGAAAACCCAGTTCCTGTTACTACTCGAACAGGACAACTGTCATAAACAGTCATGAAAGTCTGAGCAAATCACACATTATACCCTCTACCCCAGAGCACGGCGCTTGTAACGCCAGGGTAGTGGGTTCGATCCCCGGGACCACCCATACACAAAAATGTATGCACGCATGACTGTAAGTCGCTTTGGATAAAAGCTTCTGCTAAATGGCATATTATTATTGTGTCCTACTGTGGTTGAAAGTAGTGTTTTATATAGGAAATAGGATGTCATTTGAATAAAATGTTGTTCCTCTCCTCCCTGTAGCGTTGCAGCAGTTGGACTTTGTGGAGGGGCGCAGGCAGCTGTACATGAAGGCAGCGCTGCAGGCCAAACAGAAGAATGACATGGACACAGCCAGAACCCTGCTCCGTACCGCCAAGGGACTGGATCCACTCATAGAGGCCGTCAAGGCGGGCAAACACGTCGACATCAGCAAGGTGAATTTTCACGAATTCTAAAGGCACAACCTAGACTAAACCTGTCATTACTCCAACCTCGTGAAAGTTACAAACTGACACGTTTTACTTTTTTTTTGTCAAAAACAACTTTATATTGAAGCAGTGCCTTTTCATTTGACGGCCTGCACATGCGCAGTTCGGCGCTACGTGACCGTTAGACCCGATTTTTATGTGTTTCTTTGCATGAGCTTAGCAAGCCAACGTCGCCATAACTTCGCCTAGAAGTGTGATCGAGGATTTCTATTGGAGAAGCAGTTTTTGCATATCTTCTTACTGTCTTTGCCTGTAGTGTAGGAAGTAGGTTTGGGCGATTTTATAACGATTGCATCGTCTATTGACTATGATTTGACAAGTCACCGTTGATGGCGAGAACATCAGTCTGGCAGCGCCATGCAGTGAGCACACAGCAGGGCGACGGGCCAAACGGCCTATTCCCTATTGGCCGTAGCCTAAATGTTCAATACATATGATTGGTCGACTATTGAACGTAATGCGAGAGAACAAGGTAGATTGTAGACCGAGTGGAGAGCACCAAAGCAGAGCTAAAAATCAGATGGGGCCTAACATGTGTGTTCTCTCTCCTCTCCAATGTGGGAGGATCATGGGCCTTTTACAGCGGACACTCTGTTGTCTGGCTTATTGTTTTAACATGTGGGAGGATCATGGGCCTTTTTACAGCGGACACTCTGTTGTCTGGCTTATTGTTTTAACATGTGGGAGGATCATGGGCCTTTTTACAGCGGACACTCTGTTGTCTGGCTTATTGTTTTAACATGTGGGATGATCATGGGCCTTTTTACAGCGGACACTCTGTTGTCTGGCTTATTGTTTTAACGTGTGGGAGGATCATGGGCCTTTTACAGCGGACACTCTGTTGTCTGGCTTATTGTTTTAACATGTGGGAGGATCATGGGCCTTTTTACAGCGGACACTCTGTTGTCTGGCTTATTGTTTTAACATGTGGGATGATCATGGGCCTTTTTACAGCGGACACTCTGTTGTCTGGCTTATTGTTTTAACATGTGGGATGATCATGGGCCTTTTACAGCGGACACTCTGTTGTCTGGCTTATTGTTTTAACATGTGGGATGATCATGGGCCTTTTTACAGCGGACACTCTGTTGTCTGGCTTATTGTTTTAACATGTGGGAGGATCATGGGCCTTTTACAGCGGACACTCTGTTGTCTGGCTTATTGTTTTAACATGTGGGATGATCATGGGCCTTTTACAGCGGACACTCTGTTGTCTGGCTTATTGTTTTAACATGTGGGATGATCATGGGCCTTTTTACAGCGGACACTCTGTTGTCTGGCTTATTGTTTTAACATGTGGGAGGATCATGGGCCTTTTTACAGCGGACACTCTGTTGTCTGGCTTATTGTTTTAACATGTGGGAGGATCATGGGCCTTTTACAGCGGACACTCTGTTGTCTGGCTTATTGTTTTAACATGTGGGAGGATCATGGGCCTTTTACAGCGGACACTCTGTTGTCTGGCATATTGTTTTAACATGTGGGAGGATCATGGGCCTTTTTACAGCGGACACTCTGTTGTCTGGCTTATTGTTTTAACATGTGGGAGGATCACGGGCCTTTTTACAGCGGACACTGTTGTCTGGCTTATTGTTTTAACATGTGGGAGGATCACGGGCCTTTTACAGCGGACACTGTTGTCTGGCTTATTGTTTTAACATGTGGGATGATCACGGGCCTTTTTACAGCGGACACTGTTGTCTGGCTTATTGTTTTAACATGTGGGAGGATCACGGGCCTTTTACAGCGGACACTGTTGTCTGGCTTATTGTTTTAACATGTGGGATGATCATGGGCCTTTTTACAGCGGACACTCTGTTGTCTGGCTTATTGTTTTAACATGTGGGAGGATCACGGGCCTTTTTACAGCGGACACTCTGTTGTCTGGCTTATTGTTTTAACATGTGGGAGGATCATGGGCCTTTTTACAGCGGACACTCTGTTGTCTGGCTTATTGTTTTAACGTGTGGGAGGATCATGGGCCTTTTACAGCGGACACTCTGTTGTCTGGCTTATTGTTTTAACGTGTGGGAGGATCATGGGCCTTTTTACAGCGGACACTCTGTTGTCTGGCTTATTGTTTTAACATGTGGGAGGATCACGGGCCTTTTACAGCGGACACTCTGTTGTCTGGCTTATTGTTTTAACATGTGGGATGATCATGGGCCTTTTCCAGCGGACACTCTGTTGTCTGGCTTATTGTTTTAACATGTGGGATGATCATGGGCCTTTTTACAGCGGACACTCTGTTGTCTGGCATATTGTTTTAACATGTGGGATGATCATGGGCCTTTTTACAGCGGACACTCTGTTGTCTGGCTTATTGTTTTAACATGTGGGAGGATCATGGGCCTTTTTACAGCGGACACTCTGTTGTCTGGCTTATTGTTTTAACATGTGGGAGGATCATGGGCCTTTTACAGCGGACACTCTGTTGTCTGGCTTATTGTTTTAACATGTGGGAGGATCATGGGCCTTTTACAGCGGACACTCTGTTGTCTGGCTTATTGTTTTAACATGTGGGAGGATCATGGGCCTCTTTACAGCGGACACTCTGTTGTCTGGCTTATTGTTTTAACATGTGGGAGGATCATGGGCCTTTTACAGCGGACACTCTGTTGTCTGGCTTATTGTTTTAACGTGTGGGAGGATCATGGGCCTTTTACAGCGGACACTCTGTTGTCTGGCTTATTGTTTTAACATGTGGGAGGATCATGGGCCTTTTACAGCGGACACTCTGTTGTCTGGCTTATTGTTTGGAATGTCGCTTACCCATACGATGAAGATGAAATAACAATAGCATACACTTGATACGGCTATAATATTATACTGAACAAAAATATAAACCATTTGAAAGATTTGACTGAGTTACAGTTCATATAAGGAAATCAGTCAATTTAAATAAATACATTAGGCCCTAATCTATGGATTTCACATGACTGGGTAGGGGAGCAGCCATGGGTGGGCCTGGGAGGGCATAGGCCCACCCACTAGGGAGCCAGGCCCAGCCAATAAGAATTTGTTTTTCCCCACAAAAGGGCTTTATTACAGACAGAAATACTCCTCCGCACCCCCCCCCCCCCCCTCTCCCCTCTCAGACAATCCCGCAGGTGAAGAAGCCGGATATGGAGGTCCTGGGCTGGCGTGGTTACACGTCGTCTGCGGTTGTGAGGCCGGTTGGATATACTGCCAAATTCTCTAAAACAACGTTTGAGGCGGCTTATGGTAGAGAAATTAACATTAAATATCTGGCAACAGCTCTGGTTGACATTCCTGCAGTCAGCATGCCAATTACACGCTCCCTCAAAACTTGAGACATCTGTGGCATAACTGCACATTTTTAGAGTAGCCTTTTATTGTCCCCAGCACAAGGTGCACCTGTGTAATGATCATACAGTTTAATCATTTTATTGATAAGCCACAGCTGTCAGGTGGATGGATTATCTTGGCAAAGGAGAAATGCTCACTAACAGGGATGGAAACAAATTTCTGCACAAAATTTGAGGGAAATAAGCATTTTGTGCGTATGGAACATTTCTGTGATTTTTTATTTCAGCTCATGAAACATTGGACCAACACGTTACACGTTGCGTTTTATTGTTCTGTGTAGTTTTAAAAGGTAAGCTAATGTAACTGAGTATTTTTATGGACAAGAGAAACATGGCCCTACCAATTTTTTTAAATAATCTTGCAGCCTAGATGAGAGAGAACATAACTAGGCCTAACACTGTTTTGTTTTAAGCAATGATTTAACCTCTACGGGATCGGTGTCCCGTATACGGGACGGTTGAGCTAACGTGCGCTAATGTGATTAGCATGACTGTTGTCAGTAACAGCAAACTTTCCAGGACATAGACATGTCTTATATGGGCAGAAAGCTTAAATTCTTGTTAATCTAACTGCACTGTCCAATTTACAGTAGCTATTACAGTGAAAATATACCATGCTATTGTTTGAGGAGAGTGCACAACAACAAAACACGTATCACGGCAACTGGTTTGATACATTCACCTCTGAAGGTAAATAATGTACTTACATTCAGTAATCTTGCTCTGATTTGTCATCCTAAGGGTCCCAGAGATAAAATGTAGTGTAGTTTTGTTTGATAAAATCCATTTTTATATTCAAATGTAGGAACTGGGTTCTACAGTTTGAACCCTTGCTGTCTCTGGCTCCACACCAACCCCGCCCGGCCATCTAGATGTGTGAAAGTTAGTGTATAAGCTAATGATCCATCATGTATGACATTCCTGGGAGTGTGTAAACTTACATTTTTTATTACCACATAATTTTTGTATATTCTCTATAGTTATATACTTGAAAATATATCAATTGACCAATTCGGCACATTTGGGCAGACTTGATACAAAATAGTCCAGTATTCACTGGATCAATCTGAAACTTTGCACACACTGATGCGATCTAGTGGCCAAAATCTAAATTGTGCCTAAACTGCAATATTATATTGTGGCCTTTCTCTTGCATTTCAAAGATGATGGAACATTCATTTTTTATTTTTTTATTTTGAAAAGGCATGTTCTTTTGTTTGTATTATCTTTTACCAGATCTAATGTGTTATATTCTCCTACGTTTAATTTCACATTTCCACAAACTTCAAAGTGTTTCCTTTCAAATGGTATCAATAATATGCATATCCTCGCTTCAGGTCCTGAGCTACAGGCAGTTAGATTTGGGTATGTCATTTTAGGCGAACGTCTTAGGGTCTGGTCCTTATGAGCTTTTTTAATGAGGTTGTTTGTGGCTTTGTAACAATTTTAAATAAGGATGACATTATGCAGCAGATCACAGTTTAACCAATGTCCTTTTATAGTGGCTTCTCCCCCCCCCCCCCCCCCCCCCCCCCCCCCCCCCCCCGCCCAACAATGTTTGGATGGGACAGTGTCATTCCAGACATCTCTCTACCTTTAGTAGGAAGGAACTACAATCCTCTACCTCTGTGGTGTAACGCCCTGTCTGTCTGTGCTGTTCTCTAGGTGCCGTCGCCCCCTGGTGACGAGGATGAGGACTTCATCCTGGTTCATCACAGTGACGTCCAGATCTCCGAGAAGGCGGGGGAGGTCTACACTCAACTGGCCAAGATACTGAAGGAACAGTACGAGGTACTAATTATCAACTGCTTGTTAGATCATGAAAGGAGAGGCTTTTACACACCTCCAAACTCAAAAGGCTAGCCAAAAAAGAGAAGTGTGGATATGTTAACAGATAGGAGCCCAGAGGAAACCCTGCATTACCACTTGTCCTCTTCTGCCTTTTGACCTCCCACTGTACTGACATTTAGTCATGAAGCATTTATTTTTCTCTCTCCTCTAGAAGTGCATGACTTACTCCAAGCAGTTCACTCATCTGGGTAACATCACTGAGACCACCAAGTAAGAGAGCGCCATCACTGCATACTGTACACATCTAGCCTGTCTGTCTGCATGGAATACTAACATGCATTATACAACGCCAACTAACACACACTTTTAACATGCAACGTGGACCAACACACACATTATGTTGGCGTTGTGGTACTGATGTTCCTCCCGGTGTGTGTGTGTGTGTGTGCTGCAGGTTTGAGAAGATGGCAGAGAGCTGTAAGACGAGTCTGGAGATGTTGAAGCTGTCCCAGTCTAAGGGACTGGACCCTCCTAAACATCACTTTGAGGAGAGGACATACCACACCGTCAGGTTGTTGTCTCTCTTTCTCTGTCTACCGATATCTCTCGCACGCTCTCTCGTTCTTCATCTCCCTCTTCTGTGTTATCCTGTGTCTCTCCCTCTCTCTCTCTCCCTCTCTCTCTCTCTGTCTCCCTCTCCCCCTCCCCCTCTCTGTCTCTCTCTCTCCCTCCCCTCCCCCTCTCTCCCTCCCCCTCCCTCCCTCCCCCTCTCTCCCTCCCTCCTCCCTCCCTCCCTCCCCCTCCCCCTCCCCCTCCCCCTCCCCCTCTCCCCCTCCCCTCCCCCTCCCCCTCTCTCCCCTCCCCCTCTCCCCCCTCCCCCTCCCCCTCTCCCCCTCCCCCCTCTCTGTCTCTCCCTCTCTCTCTCCCTCCCCCCTCTCCCTCTCTGTCCTCTCTCTCTCTCTCTCTCTCCTCTCTCTCTCTCTCTCTCTCTCTCTCTCTCTCTCTCTCTCTCTCTCTCTCTCTCTCTCCCCCTCTCTGTCTCTCTCTCTCCCTCCCCCTCTCTCCCCCTCTCTAGGATCTTCCCAGAGCTCAGTAGTACAGAGATGGTGGTGGTGGTAGTGAGAGGGATGAACCTGCCTGCTCCTTCAGGTAACATTGACCCCCTGTATTCCCCCCTGTGTTCCCCTGTATCCCCCCCCCGTGTTCCCTGTATCCCCCTGTATCCCCCCCTGTGTTCCCCTGTATCCCCCCTGTGTTCCCCCCTGTGTTCCCCTGTATCCCCCCTGTGTTCCCCCCTGTGTTCCCCTGTATCCCCCCTGTGTTCCCCTGTATCCCCCCCGTGTTCCCCTGTAAACCCTCCTGTATTCCCCCTGTATTCCCCCTGTATTTCCTCCTGTATTTCCCCTGTATTCCCCCTGTATTCCCCCTGTATTTCCTCCTGTATTTCCCCTGTATTCCCCCTGTATTCCCCCTGTAGTTCCCCTGTATCCCCCCCGTGTTCCCCTGTAAACCCCCCTGTATTCCCCCTGTATTCCCCCTGTATTCCTCCTGTATTCCCCCTGTATTCCCCCTGTATTCCTCCTGTATTCCCCCGTGATGGTGGTGGTGAACTCATTGATCCAGCTCTCTGGAACAGCACCCAGGTATTGAGTCAGCTCCTCTCTGACCTCTCTCTGACCTCTCTCTGACCTCTCTCCTCAGGTGTAGCTACCAATGACCTGGATGCCTATGTGAAGTTTGACTTCCCCTACCCCAGTACGGTGAGTTGGTAGGATACAGCTCTGTTTACCAACCGGTTCTTGGAGACTCACATCCGTTGCACATATTTGTTCTAATCCAGCACTAGCACACCATATTCACATAATCAACTAATCATCAAGCCCTTCATTAGTTGAATCAGGTGTGCTGTGCTCCAAGCTATAGTATGCCTATTGATTGGTCTGAGAAGGGCTGTAGGGTGGTAGTGGTAGTGGTGGTATCAGCAGTAGTAGTAGTAGTAGTTGTTTTACGTCATTTAGCAGACGCTCTTATCCAGAGCGACTTACAAATTGGTGCATTCACCTTATAGCCAGTGGGATAACCACTTTACAGTATATATTTTTTTGGGGGGTCGGGTAAGGGGGGGTAGAAGGATTACTTTATCCTATCCCAGGTATTCCTTAGAGGTGGGGTTTCAAGTGTCTCCGGAAGGTGGTGAGTGACTCCGCTGTCCTGGCGTCGTGAGGGAGCTTGTTCCACCATTGGGGTGCCAGAGCAGCGAACAGTTTTGACTGGGCTGAGCGGGAACTGTGCTTCCGCAGAGGTAGGGGGGCCAGCAGGCCAGAGGTGGATGAACGCAATGCCTTCGTTTGGGTGTAGGGACTGATCAGAGCCTGAAGGTACGGAGGTGCCGTTCCCCTCACAGCTCCGTAGGCAAGCACCATGGTCTTGTAGCAGATGCGAGCTTCAACTGGAAGCCAGTGGAGTGTGTGGAGGAGCGGGGTGATGTGAGAGAACTTGGGAAGGTTGAACACCAGATGGGCTGCGGCATTCTGGATGAGTTGTAGGGGTTTAATGGCACAGGCAGGGAGCCCAGCCAACAGCGAGTTGCAGTAATCCAGACAGGAGATGACAAGTGCCTGGATTAGGACCTGTGCCGCTTCCTGTGTAAGGCAGGGTCGTACTCTGCGAATGTTGTAGAGCATGAACCTACAGGATCGGGTCACCGTCTTGATGTTAGCGGAGAACGACAGGGTGTTGTCCAGGGTCACGCCAAGGCTCTTCGCACTCTGGGAGGAGGACACAACGGAGTTGTCAACCGTGATGGCGAGATCATGGAACGGGCAGTCCTTCCCCGGGAGGAAGAGCAGCTCCGTCTTGCCGAGGTTCAGCTTGAGGTGGTGATCCGTCATCCACACTGATATGTCTGCCAGACATGCAGAGATGCGATTCGCCACCTGGTTATCAGAAGGGGGAAAGGAGAAGATTAGTTGTGTGTCGTCTGCGTAGCAATGATAGGAGAGGCCATGTGAGGATATGACAGAGCCAAGTGACTTGGTGTATAGCGAGAATAGGAGAGGGCCTAGAACTGAGCCCTGGGGGACACCAGTGGTGAGAGCACGTGGTGCGGAGACAGATTCTCGCCACGCCACTTGGTAGGAGCGACCGGTCAGGTAGGACGCAATCCAAGAGTGAGCCGCACTGGAGATGCCCAGCTCGGAGAGGGTGGAGAGGAGGATCTGATGGTTCACAGTATCAAAGGCAGCAGACAGGTCTAGAAGGACAAGAGCAGAGGAGAGAGAGTTAGCTTTAGCAGTGCGGAGAGCCTCCGTGACACAGAAGAGCAGTCTCAGTTGAATGACCAGTCTTGAAACCTGACTGGTTTGGATCAAAAAGTATTCAGCAGGGAGGAGAAGGTGGCAAAGAGCTTCCTAGGGTTAGAGGCAGATGCTTTGAATTTAGAGTGGTAGAAAGTGGCTTTAGCAGCAGAAACAGAGGAAGAAAATGTAGAGAGGAGGGAGTGAAAAGATGCCAGGTCCGCAGGGAGTCTAGTCTTCCTCCATTTCCGCTCGGCTGCCCGGAGCCCTGTTCTGTGAGCTCGCAATGAGTCATCAAACCACGGAGCAGGAGGGGAGGACCGAGCCGGCCGGGAGGATAGGGGACATAGAGAGTCAAAGGATGCAGAAAGGGAGGAGAGGAGGGTTGAGGAGGCAGAATCAGGAGATTGGAGGGAGAAGGATTGAGCAGAGGGAAGAGATGATAGGATGGAAGAGGAGAGAGTAGCGGGAGAGAGAGAGCGAAGGTTGCGGCGGCGCGTTACCATCTGTGTAGGGGCAGAGTGAGTAGTGTTGGAGGAGAGCGAGAGAGAAAAGGATACAAAGTAGTGGTCGGTGACTTGGAGGGGAGTTGCAGTGAGATTAGTAGAAGAACAGCATCTAGTAAAGATTAGGTCAAGCGTATTGCCTGCCTTGTGAGTGGGGGGGACGGTGAGAGGGTGAGGTCAAAAGAGGAGAGGAGTGGAAAGAAGGAGGCAGAGAGAAATGAGTCAAAGGTAGACGTAGGTAGGTTGAAGTCACCCAGAACTGTGAGGGGTGAGCCATCCTCAGGAAAGGAACTTATCAAGGCGTCAAGCTCATTGATGAACTCTCCAAGGGAACCTGGAGGGTGATAAATGACAAGGATGTTAAGCTTGAATGGGCTAGTGACTGACAGCATGGAATTCAAATGAGGAGATAGACAGATGGGTCAGGGGAAAAAGAGAGAATGTCCACTTGGGAGAGATGAGGTCCTCTGTAGCTCAGCTGGTAGAGCACGGCGCTTGTAACGCCATGGTAGTGGGTTCGATCCCCGGGACCACCCATACACAAAAAAAATGTATGCACGCATATCTGTAAGTCGCTTTGGATAAAAGCGTCTGCTAAATGGCATATTATTATTATTATTATTATGAGGATTCCTGTGCCACCACCCCGCTGACCAGATGCTCTTGGGGTATGCGAGAACACATGGTCAGACGAGGAGAGAGCAGTAGGAGTAGCAGTGTTTTCAGTAGTAATCCATGTTTCCGTCAGCGCCAAGAAGTCGAGGGACTGGAGGGTAGCATAGGCTGAGATGAAGTCAGCCTTGTTGGCAGCAGAACGGCAGTTCCAGAGGCTGCCTGAGACCTGGAACTCCACGTGGGTGGTGCGTGCAGGGACCACCAGGTTAGAGAGGCAGCAGCCACGCGGTGTGAGGCGTTTGTATAGCCTGTGCGGAGAGGAGAGAACAGGGATAGGCAGAGGCATAGTTGACAGGCTACAGAAAATGGCTACAATAATGCAAAGGAGATCGGAATGAAATGAACTAAACATCTGAGAAAGGAGAAAGCGGGGCCTCCCTCACTTACATTTCACTGAAACACCCAAATATAACTCTCCCAACTTCCACCTCAGAAACTATAATTGTTGTAAACTACAGCGGTTCAATGTTTTCTAGGAATAGACTAACTTAGTTTATTCAGCTAGCTAACTTGGTACAGTATTCTTCCGTGAAAATCGTCCAGGGCACCTAGTCATATGACGCCACAGCCAACTAGCATGCCGGACTCCAACAACACAGTTTAGCACCAATACTCGGCCACAACAAACCACCAGTGTGTCAACACGCCAAGCAGATCCTTCGTGTCTATGTCTAACGTTGTGGGTTAGTCCCGACAGCTTGAGCGAGTCCGTCGTCAACTTATTCAGCCAGTTAGTTAGCTAGAATAGTTAGCATACTAGCTAGCCATTGCTTTCAGACAAAGAAGAAACCCCTCCTCCCACGGCACGAACACACAGAGAGAGCCAAGCTAACGTTAACTAGTCACCCATGTCCCGAATTCCCTTGAACGACTCTGGCTACCAGTATGTAAAAACAAAACACAAATATAGGTTATAACTTACCCCTAGCAGCTACTGTTAGCTAGCCAAGTGCAAAGCTAGCCACTGAATTGACTCAGCCAGTTCGCGTCTGTTCGCTAGGTCGTTCCAGCTATTGTTTAGTAGCTATCCAGGTAGCAACAAGCTAGCTAAATTTCAAGCACAGTAGCCACTAGTAGTAGTAGTAGCAGTAGCAGTAGTAATAATCTCTATTTGAACTAATGTCTATCTTCTCCTCTGATCTCAGGAGCAACCCCAGAAACACAGAACTGCTGTGATCAAGAACACTAACTCCCCAGGTAATGCCCAGGACCGTGGTGTCTGTGGTGTGTCTGTACATAGGTTAACCCCATTTCATGTGTGGCTCATGTCTCTGTGCTCCAGAGTTCAACCAGAGCTTCACTCTGAACATCAACCGGAACCACAGAGGCTTCAGGAGAGCGGTCCAATCTAAAGGACTCAAACTGGAGCTGCTGCACAAAGGGTACATTACACCACACACACACACACACACACACACACACACACACACACACACACACACACACACACCACACACACACACACACACCACACACACACACACACACACACACAACCTTGTGACCCTAGATGAGTGGAGGTGTTTTGATCCTTTCAAGTGACAGTGATGTGAGGTCATTGTGTGTGTCATGTGACAGGGGTTTCCTGCGGAGCGACAAGCCTATAGGGACGGCCCACATCAAACTGGAGAAACTGGAGACCGAGAGTGAAGTACGAGAGATAGTGGAGGTAAGGGAGGAAGGGAGGGAATTGTAAATACAACCTATGTTTTAGTTATTTTCCCATTTGTACTTTAACTATTTACACATCATTACAACACTGTATATAGCCATAATATGACATTTGAAATGTCTTTATTCTTTTGTAACTTTTGTGAGTGTAATGTTGACTGTTGTTTATTTCACTTTTGTTTATTATCTGTTTCCCATGCCAATAAAGCCCTTTGAATTGAGAGAGAGACCTATTCAGAGAGGGAGAGAGACCTAAAAGTCTCTGAAAAAAGTATTTGATCCCCTGCTGATTTTGTACGTTTGCCCACTGACAAAGAAATGATCAGTCTATAATTTTAATGGTAGGTTTATTTGAACAGTGAGAGACAGAATAACAACAACAAAAATCCAGAAAAACACATGTCAAAAATGTTAGAAATTGATTTGCATTTTAATGAGGGAAAAAAATAAAGTAGTAGTAGTTGGCAATATCAGTGGGTTTTGTGATGAATGAGCCATCTGATTCAATGAATGATGGAGCAGAGTTTGCCTTTTTGCCCACAATTTCATTTGAGGTGCTCCAAAGCTTTTTACTATCCTCCTATCCTCATTTATCTTTGTTTCATAGTGGAGTTTCTTCTTCTTATTCAGCGTCTGGTTGCTCGTCGGACCAACAAATATTCTTCACATCAACAACAAAGGAATAACTACAGAACTTCTTATATGACCTCTTTTACAGAATATTAGGCCCAGCCTTTGGAACTTTGGTTTTCCTAGATATGGCTACTATATTGTGATCACTACATCTGATGGATTCGGATACTGCTTTCAAACACATTTCTGCAGCATTATGACAACTCAGCGACACAATGGTAGGGATTAAATTAGCTGGACTTGGGTCATTGATAAGTCATTGTCTCAACGCAGCCTTATAATGCTGTGAAAGGATCCAGGATCCCAAATGATTTGGGTGGATCCCATCCTCCTTATAATACAGCTTTGTTTCCATAAGGTATCAAAATTGTCAATAAATGTTTCACCCACAGAGCTGCAATAGTCTCGTAGCCAGTTATGGAGGGCTAAAAGTCTGCTGAACCGTTCAATGCCACGATTTAGGGAGGGCAGAGGGCCAGATATTATGGGGCGTTTGTTGGTGTCAAGTAGAGACCCAATCAGTTCTTTAAAATCCATCTTCAGCTGTTCTGAGCTGCCCTTCATAATATAATTTATAATCTACTTGTTAAACTACATAACACGCTGGCTAAATAATCCACATGTTAAGCTACATAACAAATGTTCTGATCAGTGCTAATAGAGCCAACTAGACAAGATGATCATGAGCTGCACTCACCTCAACCTAGCTAACAAAAATCCCCACACGTCTCAAAGCAGTTTGAAAGGAATATGAGTGAACTGTTTTGGTTGTGTGTTTTAGTGATACTACGTTTTATACTACAGGTGATAGATGGTCGTAAGCCTACAGGAGGACGTGTGGAGGTCAAGGTTCGCCTGAGAGAGCCTCTGAGTGGACAGGACCTTCAGACAACCACAGAACGCTGGTTAGTCCTGGACCAGTCACAGGTAAACACCACAGAATCCTGGTTAGTCCTGGACCAGTCACGGGTAAACACCCCAGAACCCTGGTTATTCCTGGACCAGTCACGGGTACACACCACAGAATCCTGGTTAGTCCTGGACCAGTCACGGGTAAACACCCCAGAACCCTGGTTATTCCTGGACCAGTCACGGGTACACACCACAGAATCCTGGTTAGTCCTGGACCAGTCACGGGTAAACACCACAGAATCCTGGTTAGTCCTGGACCAGTCACGGGTAAACACCACAGAACGCTGGTTAGTCCTGGACCAGTCACGGGTAAACACCACAGAACGCTGGTTAGTCCTGGACCAGTCACGGGTAAACACCCCAGAACCCTGGTTATTCCTGGACCAGTCACGGGTAAACACCACAGAACCCTGGTTATTCCTGGACCAGTCATGGGTAAACACCACAGAACCCTGGTTATTCCTGGACCAGTCACGGGTAAACACCACAGAACCCTGGTTAGTCCTGGACCAGTCACGGGTACACACCACAGAACCCTGGTTAGTCCTGGACCAGTCACGGGTAAACACCACAGAACCCTGGTTAGTCCTGGACCAGTCACGGGTAAACACCACAGAACCCTGGTTAGTCCTGGACCAGTCACAGGTAAACACCACAGAACCCTGGTTAGTCCTGGACCAGTCACGGGTAAACACCACAGAACCCTGGTTAGTCCTGGACCAGTCACGGGTAAACACCACAGAACCCTGGTTAGTCCTGGACCAGTCACAGGTAAACACCACAGAACGCTGGTTAGTCCTGGACCAGTCACGGGTAAACACCACAGAACCCTGGTTAGTCCTGGACCAGTAACAGTTATATTTGGAGCAAGGAGTTTGGCTCATAGTTAAAGGCCAAAGTGTAGTGTCCCCTGTCAGACCGTTGAGTTCTAGCGTGATTGTGGGCCTGACATTCGATAACCTTTGCCTCTGGTTGGTCCTCCAGGTTCTTCTCTAACTGCTGCTTAGCTGGGAGGACTAGGAAGACTTTTAAAAAGGTAGGTGAACTTCCTCTCCCCAACATACTTTTGTGTGGACGTTAAAATAGAAATTTAGTGATCAACTCAATTACCTTTCTGTCTCACAGATGAAACACTCCCATTGTCCTCTGATGATGATGATGGATGACGATGTCGTGGCTGGCCTGTTTATAGTCTTCCAGGGTTCTGGCGGTCCGACACAGTCAACACGGGTCTTTAGCTTGTAAACTTTTTGCACACTGAGAGACGGAGCTTCTTTTCACTCTAGGGGGAATGGGCTCCATGTATAACCTTAAGTTAACATTTGGCCAGGATTCAATCCAAGGCGCGCTGCACTTGACTTATACAGGTCATTATTTTACACTTGTGCCGATTTTGAATCCCAGCCCGAGTTCATTACCATGCTGATTTAAAAGACAGCTACCTAGTTAGTTTCTGTAATATATTATCCACCTATGCACTAACACTACCAAAGTAATCACTGTTGCTGTACGATGCTGCATATTTGAATTGCCTTGATTAGCTGCCATACTGTTCATGATTACAGTAATAATGTGCGACAGAACTTGCATCTCTCAAATGTAATTATTCGCTACGTTGTTTTTTTTTTTTTTTTCTATTCACTGGAACCAGGATTCAATCCAGATTAGATCCCCGGTATCGCCGCTTTACATTTTTTAAAGGTCATTTCCTATTGAGCAGACATCTGCAGCGTTCACCTTGAATGCGATCTCAGCGAACGTGGGAACATTGCCTTTTTAAAAGCTGCATTGTGGACTAGAGCGTAGGGGATGAATCCCGGCCCTAATGGCAGAACGGGAGAATCCTCGCGCACACACACAGATGTCTTGGCTACCACCGTTACTGGACATTCAAAGGCAATTGGTCAACTGACATAAGCATTGTCATAGGTACTCTATAAAGGTCTAATGTAATGGTTATCAGGCTACATAGCTCTTCTGACTGTGGCACAGTGAGCTGGATAATATAGATCTGTGTCTGAAGTGACCCACTATTCCCTTTGGGCCCTGGTCAAAACTAGTGCACTAAATGGGGAATAGAGGGTTATTTGGGATGTAGATAGTGTCTGATTTTGTTATCTCACTGTTATGTTATATGATGTGTGGTTGATGCTTAACTGCATGTTGTTTGAGAAAGATGTCACTTATCTTGTGGTGGTGGTTGGGATTGTTCCGGTCATTTCTCTTTGTGTTGAAGAAACTCATACGTTTTACACTTTATAGCTGTGAAACTTTGGTACACATAGGAATTATATCATCCGTGAGTTGGGTTCAGCTGAGCTTTTTGCCAAGGACATTTTTTTTATGTCTGTGTGCATATTTAAAGTAGTATTTTATGAAAATAGGTAATTTAAAATGCTTAACAGCAAAGCCATTATGGTTACAGGGCGGGTTTCCTGGACACGGATTAAGCCTATACTGGACTAAGAAGCTTTTCAATGGAGACTCTTCATTGAACATCATTATTTTGGTCCAGGGCAGTCTGTGTTCGGGAAACTGGCCCACAGTCTGAGCCAATTATATCCCCCCCCATTCCCTACTGATAGCCTATTATATCCCACTATAACTTTACAATGTTGCTTGTGTCAGAATATTTCAAACTGATGACTTATAATACAGTGCATCAATGCGGTCCCGTCATTTCCAAATAAATATTTTATTAATTATACATTTAAGTAATTTTTATTTCTTAACAAAATGCAACTGTCTCCTTTCCTCTCCTCCAATGTGTTTTTGGATGTATATTTTGGCACATTTATCATAAAGAGACTTAAAACTGTAGACTTTATCCAACCTAGGGTGCCTTCCCTGAATCAATCCCCAAATGTGTATTTGGGGTAAAAAGGAAGCATGCATTTCACTTTTCTGTAAGTTTTTAATTATACATATATACTACAGGTTTTGATTAGACTGCTTTTGACATTCGTAGTATACAATAAAGAAAAAATATTTGTGCTTTTCATACATATAATTTTTTTTTTTTTTTTTTGATTGATGTCAATGTTAAAAAGAATGTGGATTTTCTTAATCCAGCCATGTTCCGGCCTGATTGAATGACTGTTTGTTTTGATCCACAGGACAGTAGAATATGGTCACAATGCCGAGTAGTTGGTTTGTTTCTGTCTTTAAGTTCTGGTAAGGACAAGTCTGTTCAATTGAATAACAAAATGCTACCATCAAGAAAACAAACAATTGCACCTTTTTGGATATAGGTTAGTGCACACCTGAAATAATGGGCTGTATTCACTAGTGCACACCGTAGCAAACAGTTTCGCAACGGAAAACATTGCCACAATCGAGTTTCTATTGGACAAATTCAGGTAGGTTCCTAGTAAGGGCGTACAAAGCCCTGTGAACGGCCTCAGGAAAACAACCTTTACAATGTCTCCTCTTGAAGTTGCACGCTGTAGTGTGAGGATTCAGGAAGCCACTGTCCTAAGCATGTAGATATGAAAGCTCCTCTCCAGAAATGTGAGTCCTGTTCATTAGGGCACGTAACAGAACATTTTGCAAACGGAAAATTTAAATTGAGTGTTTCTTATTGGACAAGACCTCGTAGTCTCTGTTCTGTCTTCTCTTCCGTTTGGGGTCTATTGAACGCAACCTTGATGGACACAGATGAATAGAATGACACAACTCAGGCTGACACACAACAGGGTCGTATTCATTAGTGGAAAAAACGTTTTGCAACGGGAAAACAAAAACAAGTGTTCCTTATTGGACGGGTGGTTCTGGTAATCCTGTTTTCTTCCGTTTGGTGCGTAATGAACAGGACCCAGGAGGGACGATCCTCCGATAACCATTGTAATGTCATCTGTCCATAGCAGTTTGATGCCCTCCATTATTCATTGTTACAGCACAACCAGAGTAACAAGCAGGCCCTCAATACTGTCTGAAACCCACCATTTTTCTTTACAATAAAATGATTCAATAAATATACAGTATACTTACATTCATACCTTAATGCTGTTTGTCAAAGCATTAGTTATTCTGCAGATATTCATGTGTGACGGTCTCTCTTGGGAGTTTAGTTTAGTATCGTAGCATTGGGCATATTGTTTAATCAATAATACCTTTGGCAAAACCACCATGTCTCAGGTACTTGATAATATACTGTATTTATCTTTGTTTACCTACAATTTTTTTTTTTTTACAAATGTTAGAAAGATGTCCAGTACAATAAAGATTGTATTTTGATCATGTCTTTCTGCTAAGCTGCCAAATTTAGCGACAAACATTACTGACAGATCAAACATTTAAAAAAACGCAATTAGGTAGTACATTCTTCTGACAGACCTCTTCTCTTCAGGTCCGTGCCCACATAGCAGAGGGCAGTGTGGGGTTGCATTCCAAATGGCACCTTATCCCATATATATATATATATAAAGGGCACTACTGTTGACCAAGGCCTATAAGGACTAGGATGCCACTTCGGACGCAACTCTCATAAGCCCACGGAGCCGCTCACACACTCGACATCGTGGCTCTAAAATAATTGGATTGGTATAAGAAAAGTCTGGAGATAAGTTCCACCATTTTGAATCCATGAGAAGGCGTGTTCAAGTGCAAACTTCAGGAGAAGGGTAAAGAATCAGGAAGCAGCCCCAGTCATTGACCAAGGTCTGCCGTTTTAACCCCAGTCATTGACCAAGGTCTGCCGTTTTAACCCCGGTCATTGACCAAGGTCTGCCGTTTTAACCCCAGTCATTGACCAAGGTCTGCCGTTTTAACCCCAGTCATTGACCAAGGTCTGCCGTTTTAACCCCAGTCATTGACCAAGGTCTGCCGTTTTAACCCCAGTCATTGACCAAGGTCTGCCGTTTTAACCCCAGTCATTGACCAAGGTCTGCCGTTTAACCCCAGTCATGACCAAGGTCTGCCGTTTTAACCCCAGTCATTGACCAAGGTCTGCCGTTTTAACCCCAGTCATTGACCAAGGTCTGCCGTTTTTAACCCCAGTCATTGACCAAGGTCTGCCGTTTTAACCCCAGTCATTGACCAAGGTCTGCCGTTTTAACCCCAGTCATTGACCAAGGTCTGCCGTTTTAACCCCAGTCATTGACCAAGGTCTGCCGTTTTAACCCCAGTCATTGACCAAGGTCTGCCGTTTTAACCCCAGTCATTGACCAAGGTCTGCCGTTTTAACCCCAGTCATTGACCAAGGTCTGCCGTTTTAACCCCAGTCATTGACCAAGGTCTGCCGTTTTAACCCCAGTCATTGACCAAGGTCTGCCGTTTTAACCCCAGTCATTGACCAAGGTCTGCCGTTTTAACCCCAGTCATTGACCAAGGTCTGCCGTTTTAACCCCAGTCATTGACCAAGGTCTGCCGTTTTAACCCCAGTCATTGACCAAGGTCTGCCGTTTTAACCCTTCAGCCATCAGTCTCGATGTCCTTACGTCCCATTCTCCTGTAAATGGCTTAGACTCCAGTGCACAGCTTCTGCATTTTACAATAGTTTCTGCAAAATTTTTTATTCTTTGTATAATGATGACAAATTTAAAATCGGTTTGGCAGTTTGTTTTGAAAACCGCCATCGTACAAAAACAAAACGTAGCTAGCTGATGCTATGGGGTCTGTGGATGGAGGAGGACAGCATCAATGTGTTGAATAGATGCTTTGGCTCACAGGTCAGGAGGACAGGGTTGGGACCCATATGGCTCTCTGTAGTGCACTATAAAGGGAATATGGTGCAATTTAGGACCCATATGGCTCTGGTCAAATGTAGTGCACTATAAAGGGAATATGGTGCAATTTAGGACCCATATGGCTCTGGTCAAATGTAGTGCACTATAAAGGGAATATGGTGCAATTCAGGACCCATATGGCTCTGGTCAAATGTAGTGCACTATAAAGGGAATATGGTGCAATTTAGGACCCATATGGCTCTGGTCAAATGTAGTGCACTATAAAGGGAATATGGTGCAATTTAGGACCCATATGGCTCTGGTCAAATGTAGTGCACTATAAAGGGAATATGGTGCAATTTAGGACCCATATGGCTCTGGTCAAATGTAGTGCACTATAAAGGGAATATGGTGCAATTTAGGACCCATATGGCTCTGGTCAAATGTAGTGCACTATAAAGGGAATATGGTGCAGTTTGGGACGCACCCACAGGTAACAACCATGCTTCAGTTCCTCTAGTATCCTCTCTCCATCACTTACAGAAAGGAGGATGAGGCTGGGGTTAGTTAATGGTGGTGAAGGATGAGGCTGGGGTTAGTTAATGGTGGTGAAGGATGAGGCTGGGGTTAGTTAATGGTGGTGAAGGATGAGGCTGGGGTTAGTTAACGGTGGTGAAGGATGAGACTGGGGTTAGTTAATGGTGGTGAAGGATGAGGCTGGGGTTAGTTAACGGTGGCAGGATGAGGCTGGGGTTAGTTAATGGTGGTGAAGGATGAGGCTGGGGTTAGTTAATGGTGGCAGGATGAGGCTGGGGTTAGTTAATGGTGGTGAAGGATGAGGCTGGGGTTAGTTAATGGTGGCAGGATGAGGCTGGGGTTAGTTAATGGTGGCAGGATGAGGCTGGGGTTAGTTAATGGTGGTGAGGATGAGGGGCTGGGGTTGTTAATGGTGGCAGATGAGGCTGGGTTAGTTAATGGTGGTGAAGGATGAGGCTGGGGTTAGTTAAATGGTGGCAGGGCTGTGGGCTGGGGTAGTATGGTTGGTTGAAGATGAGGCTGGGGTTAGTTAATGGTGGCCGGGACTGTGGCTGGGGTAGTTAATGGTGGGAAGGATGTGAGGCTGGGGTTAGTTAATGGTGGGCAGGATGAGGTGGGGGTAGTTAACGGTGGCAGGATGAGCTGGGGGTTAGTTTTAATGGTGGCAGGAATGAGGCTGGGGGTTAGTTAATGGTGGCAGGATGAGGCTGCGGGTTAGTTAATGGTGGCAGGATGAGGCTGGGGTTAGTTTCATGGTGGCAGGATGAGGCTGGGGTAGTTAATGGTGGCAGGATGAGGCTGGGTTAGTTAACGGTAGGTTGAAGGATGAGGCTGGGGTTAGTTAACGGTGGTGAAGGATGAGGCTGGGGTTAGTTAATGGTGGCAGGATGAGGCTGGGGTTAGTTAATGGAGGCTGGGGTTAGTTAATGGTGGCAGGATGAGGCTGGGGTTAGTTAACGGTGGTGAAGGATGAGGCTGGGGTTAGTTAATGGTGGTGAAGGATGAGGCTGGGGTTAGTTAACGGTGGTGAAGGATGAGGCTGGGGTTAGTTAACGGTGGTGAAGGATGAGGCTGGGGTTAACAGTCGGTGGTGAAGGATCAGACCACAATGCATCAGTGCTTCTACATCTGCATTGCTTGATGTTTGGGGTTTTAGGCTGGGTTTCTGTATAGCACTTTGTGACATCTGCTGATGTAAAAAGGGCTTTTTAAAAACATTTGATTGAACTCTCATCCCAAGACTCCAACCAGTCCCCTCGGTGGCCAATGGGAGGCCAGAGACTGTTTGTTATACTTCCTGTTAGAATGTTCTGGTAAAGCATTGGAACCTGTTTTAATCAGCTTACGCTTGGTCTAAAACAGTAGGGTGACACTTGACGACATGGTTCTCAGAAGACGAGAAGCTTCTCCGTATAAAGCTTGGTTGATCTCCATGGTCGAAAATGGTTCAGGATCTTTGACCTATTTAAAAGTCTGACAGTAAAATCAGTAACACCCACACCACCTGTCTTAGACATTGTACCTTCTCGACTAGGTCCAACTGCTTAGCAGTTATAGTGTGACAGACATCCTTGGTGTTGGATCTCTGGAAGCTACAGAAGTGGCGCTATTGAGCCAATTGCAGCCCCGCCTAAACAAAATAACAAGCAAAACTAAAACTGTAGTCCATCAATGTCAGGAGGTAAAGCATTTGGTGATCATTGGCTAAAGGCCAGGCTGAAAACCAGAGGAAAGTTATTTCCTTCTGTCCATCCTTAATTACTTCTAATCCTCCTTCCACTGTGAAGAGTTGAAACTGCAGGCACTGAGCACTGGGATGCAAATGAAACCGCATCACCAGACAAATGTTTCCTCCCTCTCTTTTCTCACTCCTTCCACTTATGAGTTTTTTAAATCTTCCCAGCTCACCAGACCGTGTAAAGTCCCTGTCGGCAGAGACAGAAGTGTAGTCTCATCAGGCAGAGCTCTGGACACCTCTACCTGGGGTCCTCAAAGCGCCAATGCTACAACATGGCCTTTGGAGACTACGTTTCCCAGAGTGCAGTGCTTCTGCTTTGTCCTCTGGTTGGCTAGCTACCACAGCTAAAACAATACAGTATGAAGATCGGCAGAAACTGCTTCTCCAATAGAAATCCTAGGTCATGGCAACTTGGCTAGCTAAGCTCATGCGTAGAAACACGTCATTGGCTCGAGACGACCAAACTGCATGTGCTGGCTGTCAAAGCAAAGGGACTCCTTCAATATAAAGTAGTTTTTGAAGAAAATGAAAACGTGTCAGTTTGTCACTTTCACGAGGTTGGAGCGATAACATGTTCAGCTACTGAAGACATTGGCTTGAATCTAGGCCTTTTAGATTTAGAGAACATTCACAACTCAGGAATTTTACTTCTCAAACCCCTGCTTGGTCTGTTTCGCTAGCGTTCCCGATTTAGTCTCGCGACGTTGCGCCTTTGCGTTTAGAAACTGACCAGAGTGGAACAGGAAGGCTCCTCCAGATTTCCTGATTCATGTGATCTGGGCCAGGGTGGACATGGTTCATAGGTGGACTGGAGAGGCGCTAGCTGTCTGGTGAAGGGATACCAACATCCGCTAGCTGCCCCTCACAGCCTTTAGCCTCTCTCTGAAGAGATGGAAGAACAGGAGGCAGGATGGGAGGACAAAAGAGAGGACGGGGACGAGAACGAGGAGATCAGAGTCTGGGGTGTTGGTCCGTCTTCTAGGAGAGGATTTCCAGGATGTAGAAGACCAGCTCCATGACGACGGGGCCCTCGCTGAGTTGACCCGCCCCTCTGTGGATGACCGGGATCAGAGTTCTGTCCAGGTCACTCAGGTAATGGGAGGGGAGAGGCTGGCCGTTACTACCTGCTAGGTAACCCACCTGGGAGAAAAGAGGGACAGGGAAGCGACAGGTAGTTACTGTTGATGTATCCTTTTATCTAACCAGGTACTGTGAGGGGAGTGGCTTGCCGTTACTACCTGCTAGGTGGCCCACAGAGACAGGTAGTTATTTTCTAATTCAAGTGTTTCTCAGTCCATTCTTGTTTGTTTTAGCCTAGCACTGACTGACACACCTGATTTACATTTACTTTGAGCTTAATCCTAAATTACACATTTGCATGGGCGGACTGGCTATCTGTCATTTCAGCCAAATGCCAGATGGGCTGGTCCATTTTTAGCCCAGTGGGCCTGTCTAACTTGTTTTCTTTACGCAAAAATGATCATTATCTGGCTAATAATGAGGCCTCAAGAAAAAGAAAATGGGCCGGTGTGGACGCCTTGAGGAAAAAAACGGGCTGGTGTGTTTGAAATGCCAGGGATAATTTCTGGTCAATGTCTGCCCCTGCACATTTTCTGATTTAAAAACCATTTCTGATTTGCCATTCAAATCATTTCTGGTGTGGCCAGACCGTGATGACCCGAGTCCGTACCTGGTCAGACTCGAGGGTGACCCGTAGGCCCAGTTTAGCCATGCCATCGTCCTTCAGCAGTTTGAGGTGCGGGCACAGCGCCACGCAGAATGCCCTCGCCACGTTCTCCGTCAAGCGGCTGTGGTCAGCAGGGTCGCTCAGACCGTTAGGCTGGTCGTCACTCTGGACGAAGAAGACCTAAAAGGGGCAAAAATTATAAACGTTGCAGATTTGTCTTGAGCGGAGACATGAGAATGGGTCGTATTCAGTAGGGCACACCTTTTTTTTGTAAAACATTTTGAAACAAATTTAATTGCACATTTCTTATCGGACAAGATCAGGTAGTGCCTCCCCGTTTCGAAATGTTTTGTCTGGTTTTGTGTTGACTGAACCCAGGTGTTGTTTAGGAGGGTGACATCACGGACTGAACCCAGGTGTTGTTTAGGAGGGTGACATCACGGACTGAACCCAGGTGTTGTTTAGGAGGGTGACATCACGGACTGAACCCAGGTGTTGTTTAGGAGGGTGACATCACGGACTGAACCCAGGTGTTGTTTAGGAGGGTGACATCACGGACTGAACCCAGGTGTTGTTTAGGAGGGTGACATCACGTACCTCTGTCCAGCGGATGACCTTCCCATTAGCCTTGAACTCTGAACCGTGGAAGATTTTGACGCTGGTGTTGAACTCCATAGACTTCCCATCAATAGGACTAATTACCCTGGGGGGGGAACAGGCGGGGGGGGGGGGGTTTAAATAATACACCTACTTTAAATGTCTTCTAAACATCTTTCATAGATGGGTATTAAGGGAGGGAAACACTAGGAGTTTAGAGGTTTCCCTTCCTCCTCCTCCTTTCATCATTCATTTCCTCACCCCTTATTGAAAAAGGAGTGATCGTCATCTGTCCACTGTATGTGAACATGTTCCTGGGTGTCCTGCTGGTCTGCCCGGCCACAGGTGATACTAAAGTCCTTCATGTCCCTGAGGGCTTGCCGTAGAGCATCCATGGTCTCTGCTGTGATCTGCACCATCACACCATCTACAGGGGGAACAACAGATGTGTGTGTATATATAACACCATCACACCATCTACAGGGGAACAACAGATGTGTGTGTGTATATAACACCATCACACCGTACACACCTGTAGACAGCAGACTACCTAACACGGGGTTTCCCAAACTCTGTCCTGGGGCCCCCGCTGGGTGCACGTTTTGGTTTTTTGCCCTAGCACTAAACAGCGGATTCAAATAATCAAAGTTTGATGATTGGTTGATATTTTGAATCAGCTCTGTAGTCCTATGGCAAAAAATCAGAGGCGATAAATAAAGTTCAATTGAAATGCAGTCTCTAATTTTGGAGATATTGTTGATGTTACCTTCCACAATGCTGGTCTTGGCCAAGTGTCCAGAGGCTGCCTTCAGAGAACCACTGGACACAAAAAAGCAGGCGCCGGTCACTGGAAGAAATAAACTTGAAATATTGAATTTAATCACAAAGAAATTCAATTGTAAGCTATCTGAAGGGCTGCGATTCCAGCCATGGTTTTGTTAGTCCAGTCGACAGACTATGACTTGACTCCCCACGTTGTGTGTGTGTGTGTGGTGTGGTGTGTGTGTGTGTGTGTGTGTGTGTCTGTCTGTGTGTGTGTGTGTGTGTGTGTGTCTACCTCTGCGTGGTTGGTGGTGGATGCTGATGGCCTGTGTCTGTGTGTGTGTGTGTGTGTGTGTCTACCTCTGCGTGATTGGTGGTGGATGCTGATGGCCTGTGTGTGTGTGTGTGTGTCTGTATGTGTGTGTCTGTGTCTGTGTGTGTGTGTGTGTGTGTGTGTGTCTACCTCTGCGTGGTTGGTGGTGGATGCTGATGGCCTGTGTGTGGTTGGTGGTGGATGCTGATGGCCTGTGTGTGGTTGGTGGTGGATGCTGATGGCCTGGGTCTGGTTGGTGGTGGATGCTGATGGCCTGTGTGTGGTTGGTGGTGGATGCTGATGGCCTGTGCGTGGTTGGTGGTGGATGCTGATGGCCTGTGCGTGGTTGGTGGTGGATGCTGATGGCCTGTGCGTGGTTGGTGGTGGATGCTGATGGCCTGGGTCTGGTTGGTGGTGGATGCTGATGGCCTGGGTCTGGTTGGTGGTGGATGCTGATGGCCTGGGTCTGGTTGGTGGTGGATGCTGATGGCCTGGGTCTGGTTGGTGGTGGATGCTGATGGCCTGGGTCTGGTTGGTGGTGGATGCTGATGGCCTGTGTGTGTGTGTGTGTGTGTGTCTGTGTGTGTGTGTCTGTGTGTGTGTGAGTGTGTGTGTGTGGTGTGTGTGGTGTGTGTGTGTGTGTGTGTGTGTGTGTCTACCTCTGCGTGGTTGGTGGTGAATGCTGATGGCCTCTGCGTGGTTGGTGGTGAATGCTGATGGCCTCTGCGTGGTTGGTGGTGAATGCTGATGGCCTGGGTCTGGTTGGTGGTGGATGCTGATGGCCTGGGTCTGGTTGGTGGTGGATGCTGATGGCCTGTGTGTGTGTGTGTGTGTGTGTCTGTGTGTGTGTGTCTGTGTCTGTGTGTCTGTGTGTGTGTGTCTGTGTCTGTGTGTGTGTGTGTGTGTCTACCTCTGTGTGGTTGGTGGTGGATGCTGATGGCCTGTGTGTGGTTGGTGGTGGATGCTGATGGCCTGTGCGTGGTTGGTGGTGGATGCTGATGGCCTGTGTGTGGTTGGTGGTGGATGCTGATGGCCTGGGTGTGGTTGGTGGTGGATGCTGATGGCCTGTGTGTGGTTGGTGGTGGATGCTGATGGCCTCTGCGTGGTTGGTGGTGGATGCTGATGGCCTGGGTCTGGTTGGTGGTGGATGCTGATGGCCTCTGCGTGGTTGGTGGTGGATGCTGATGGCCTGGGTCTGGTTGGTGGTGGATGCTGATGGCCTCTGCGTGGTTGGTGGTGGATGCTGATGGCCTGGGTCTGGTTGGTGGTGGATGCTGATGGCCTGGGTCTGGTTGGTGGTGGATGCTGATGGCCTGGGTCTGGTTGGTGGTGGATGCTGATGGCCTGGGTCTGGTTGGTGGTGGATGCTGATGGCCTGGGTGTGGTTGGTGGTGGATGCTGATGGCCTGTGCGTGGTTGGTGGTGGATGCTGATGGCCTGTGCGTGGTTGGTGGTGGATGCTGATGGCCTGGGTCTGGTTGGTGGTGGATGCTGATGGCCTGGGTCTGGTTGGTGGTGGATGCTGATGGCCTGGGTCTGGTTGGTGGTGGATGCTGATGGCCTGGGTCTGGTTGGTGGTGGATGCTGATGGCCTGGGTCTGGTTGGTGGTGGATGCTGATGGCCTGGGTCTGGTTGGTGGTGGATGCTGATGGCCTGGGTCTGGTTGGTGGTGGATGCTGATGGCCTGGGTCTGGTTGGTGGTGGATGCTGATGGCCTGGGTCTGGTAGTTTCCGTCGTCGTTCTGAACACCCACCAGGTGGGAGTCGGCCTGCTCGTTAAAACACGCCCCCATGGCCAGGACGTGTTCATTGGACTTGTTCATGGCCTTCATCAGCTGCAGGGAATATAAAGACTTGTTCATAGCCGGGTAATAGTCTCTTTATAACTTGATAATAGCCTTCATCAGCTGGGGCAGACAATGTGGTTGTGTCATTAAAGGTCCAATCTGTAACTTCAACAGTCCTGGGCCTGGTTTCCCAATGGAATTTAGGCTTACGTGTGTTTTTAACGATGCATCTTTCCCTACAACGGCCGAAGACGTAACCTGCGTTTCCCAAAACACCACGGCTGAGAGAACGCTCACCGAGTGTGTCGTTGAGGCATAGCGGAGATACTGACAGGGTCGAAAGAAAGGGAGCGCTGCTCTCGGATCAGCTTTCTCCATTCAAATCTTTCCTTAACGTTGTAATTATTTCACAATACTGACCACGGATCAGCTCCTAGAGAGATATTACCACCTACGTTCTAATGCTTAGTCTATAATAATGAACTAAATCACAGAGTTTACACATTGTACACACGTTAGGCTACAGAGCCAGAGTCCGGACGAATCCGATCGAACATCTCTGGAGAAACCTGAAAATAGCTGTGCAGCGACGCTCCCCATCCAACCTGACAGAGCTTGAGAGGATCTGCAGAGAAGAATGGGAGAAACTCCCCAAATACAGGTGTGCCAAGCTTGTAGCGTCATACCCAAGAAGACTCAAGGCTATAATCGCTGCCAAAGGTGCTTCAACAAAGTACTGCGTAAAGGGTCTGAATACTTATGTAAATGTGATTTCAGTTTTTAAAAACCTGTTTTTGCTTTGTCATTATGGGGTATTGTGTGTAGATTGACGCAATATATATATATATTTTTTGATCAATTTTAGAATAAGGCTGTAACGTAACAAAATGTGGAAAAAGTCAAGGGGTCTGAATACTTTCCGAATGCGCTGTATATAATAGTGATTATAAAAGTTACCTTATCATATAGCAGGTGTTTATATAGTAGTGTCATAATGTTACCCCATCAGCATTGCAGGTATTTTTAATGGTAGTGTATTCGGTCTCTGTTGTCATTCAGTTAAACCTACACTCGATTTAATTTCAATATGATTGAAATTGGCCTATAGCCTACTGTTTATATTTTGATGCAGTCATCACGGTTTTCATTTGAAGCATATTTTTATATATACACGTCGCTTGTTTGTAACAATTGCAAAAGACACAGGCAACTTTATATTTGTAGTCACCCTTTGCTCTGAAGTTATCGGATGTCACAGAGAGACTGATAAACCATGTGATTCTGTTTACATTTACATCATTCAGCAGACCGCTCTTATCCAGAGCGACTTGAGGTAGGCGTTTAGATTACGAGTGTTTTCAAGTGCAACGTTAATAACTATGGTTTTGGGAAACAGCTCGTAGATTTAACGACGCTTTTGGGAAACCCGGGCCCTGAAGAGTTGTGATCAGGAGGCCGCTAGTTGTGACAAAGTTATCTGTTCAGTACACCAATGTGGTAACATAATCCTTACGGTTGAAGTTTCCACAAATCAGTTCCAGTTCTTTTTAGATGAAACATTTTGATGAGGTAGATTGAGGAAAATACAATAATGTGCGTCACTTGAGTGGGTTGAGTTACTGACGTGATCTTCCTGTCTGGGTTGGCGCCCCCCCCTTGGTTTGTGCTGTGGTGGAGACCTCTGTGGGCTATACTCGGCCTTGTCTCAGGATTGTAAGTTGGTGGTTGGGGATATCCCTCTAGTGGTGCGGGGGCTGTGCTTTGGCGGAGTGGGTGGGGTTATATCCTTCCTGTTTGGCCCTGTCCGGGGGTTTCTTCGGATGGGGCCACAGTGTCTCCGGACCGCTCCTGTCTCAGCCTCCAGTATTTATGCTGCAGTAGTTTATGTGTCGGGGGGCTGGGGTTAGTTGGTTATACCTGGAGTACTTCTCCTGTCTTATCCAGTGTCCTGTGTGAATTTAAGTATGCTCTCTCTAATTCTCTCGTTCTCTCTTTCTCTCTGAGAACCTGAGCCCTAGGACCATACGTCAGGACTACCGGGCATGATGACACCCTGCTGCCCCCAGTCCGCCTGGCCTTGCTGCTATTCCAGTTTCAACTGTTCTGCCTGCGGCTACGAAACCCCTACCTGTCCCAGACCTGCTGTTTTCAACTCTAAATGATCGGCTATGAAAAGCCAACTGAGAGACCTGAGCCCTAGGACCATACGTCGGGACTACCGGCCGTGGTGACTCCTTGCTATCCCCAGTCCGCCTGGCCTTGCTGCTATTCCAGTTTAAACTGTTCTGCCTGCGGTTATGGAACCCCTACCTGTCCCAGACCTGCTGTTTTAAACTCTAATGATCGGCTATGAAAAGCCAACTGAGATTTATTCCTGATTATTATTTGACCATGCTTGTCACTTATGAACATTTTTGAACATCTTGGCATGGTTCTGTTATAATCTCCACCCGGCACAGCCAGAAGAGGACTGGCCACCCCTCATAGCCTGGTTCCTCTCTAGGTTTCTTCCTAGGTTTTGCCTTTCTAGGGAGTTTTTCCTAGCCACCGTGCTTCTACACCTGCATTACTAGCTGTTTGGGGTTTTAGGCTGGGTTTCTGTACAGCACTTCGAGATATTAGCTGATGTAAGAAGGGCTATATAAAATAAAATTGATTGATTGATTGATAATGGAGAAATCCTGGTTATCTTGGTCTATGTGACTGACTGACTTCCTCATTTCTCCTGTCGTTCACATGGCAGAAATAAAAGTGAGAATCTGGAGCGTTTTAGTCACCGACTGTGTGAAAGCTCTCATACTGTCTGTTGTCAAACGGTCCAATCACTGGGTTCCCATCTGTTAGAGTGGCAGTAGCCAAGCAGATAAACATTTCCAAACCTTACAGGGAGTAAGGTCTTCTGTACCACACAGAACATCTTGGTTATACTAAACCAGTATCACTGAATGCAGGTCCAGACCCGAATCAGTGAAGTGAAAACGGAACGATATTCAGTGTGGATTCCAGGCCGACTACTACATAGGGTTGGTTGTCTCTGGTTTGGGACCGTGGTGACCTAGTGATTGGCAGAACCCCTCGCTAGGAAGCAATACGATTGGTTGAGAGCCTCACCTCGTTGTATCGGTTGCCGGGGATCTTGACGCAGGTCTTCCTCGCCTCCATGTCCACCACCAGGCCCTTCACCACGGGCAACGTGTACTGGTAGTTACGGAAGTCCTGTAGGTACATTACATTTTATAGACCCTTTAAATCAACCAATCAAATGTATTTATAAAGCCCTTTTTACATCAGCAGATGTCACAAAGTGCTTATACAGAAACCCAGACTAAAACCACAAACAGCAAGCAATGCAGATGTAGAAGCACGGTGGCTAGGAAAAACTCCCTAGAAAGGCAGGAACCTAGGAAGAAACCTAGAGAGGAACCAGGCTCTGAGGGGTGGCCAGTCCCCTTCTGGCTGTGCCGGGGGGAGATTATAACAGTACATGGCCATTAAGGCCAGATGGTTTTTCAAGATGTTCATAGATGACCAGCAGGGTCAAACAATAATAATCACCATGAGTAGGGCTGTTGCAGTGACCATATTACCATTATCATCACACCGGCAATCATGAACGCAGTAAAATTCCACGTGACCGTTGAGTCACGGTGATCTCCTCTTATGGACTCTGGACATGCGTTGGTAGAACCCAACTCACTAACAACCAATAAGGTCCGAATGTAGGAACTCAGCGCTCTATTGTCCCTCTGACCACTCTGACATGAATGCAAATGCAATCAAAAAAAATCACATCAAAACACTTATCAAAACAGTATCTGCTTTTAAAATCCATCAATTTGAAGAAAAATAAGTTAAACAGCAGGTTGAAACTGAGTGTAAAACATGGTCATTGTAGATGTCGTTTCAAAAGCCTAACAACGAAATGAACAGCGCTTTCTAAGGTGATGATTAATGCAAAACACCCATATGCATATTAGAGTTTATGCATATTCATAGGCTTATGAGCCCAAGCTAAAAAATAAAATAAAATAAAAACAGTGGGGTACATCACTGGGGCCAACCTTCCTGCCATCCAGGACCACTATGGCCAGTACATCACTGGGGCCAACCTTCCTGCCATCCAGGACCACTATGGCCAGTACATCACTGGGGCCAACCTTCCTGCCATCCAGGACCACTATGGCCAGTCCATCAGTGGGGCCAACCTTCCTGCCATCCAGGACCACTATGGCCAGTCCATCAGTGGGGCCAACCTTCCTGCCATCCAGGACCACTATGGCCAGTACATCACTGGGGCCAACCTTCCTGCCATCCAGGACCACTATGGCCAGTACATCACTGGGGCCAACCTTCCTGCCATCCAGGACCACTATGGCCAGTCCATCAGTGGGGCCAACCTTCCTGCCATCCAGGACCACTATGGCCAGTACATCACTGGGGCCAACCTTCCTGCCATCCAGGACCACTATGGCCAGTACATCAGTGGGGCCAACCTTCCTGCCATCCAGGACCACTATGGCCAGTCCATCAGTGGGGCCAACCTTCCTGCCATCCAGGACCACTATGGCCAGTACATCACTGGGGCCAACCTTCCTGCCATCCAGGACCACTATGGCCAGTACATCACTGGGGCCAACCTTCCTGCCATCCAGGACCACTATGGCCAGTCCATCAGTGGGGCCAACCTTCCTGCCATCCAGGACCACTATGGCCAGTCCATCAGTGGGGCCAACCTTCCTGCCATCCAGGACCACTATGGCCAGTACATCACTGGGGCCAACCTTCCTGCCATCCAGGACCACTATGGCCAGTACATCAGTGGGGCCAACCTTCCTGCCATCCAGGACCACTATGGCCAGTACATCACTGGGGCCAACCTTCCTGCCATCCAGGACCACTATGGCCAGTCCATCAGTGGGGCCAACCTTCCTGCCATCCAGGACCACTATGGCCAGTACATCACTGGGGCCAACCTTCCTGCCATCCAGGACCACTATGGCCAGTACATCACTGGGGCCAACCTTCCTGCCATCCAGGACCACTATGGCCAGTACATCACTGGGGCCAACCTTCCTGCCATCCAGGACCACTATGGCCAGTACATCAGTGGGGCCAACCTTCCTGCCATCCAGGACCACTATGGCCAGTACATCACTGGGGCCAACCTTCCTGCCATCCAGGACCACTATGGCCAGTACATCACTGGGGCCAACCTTCCTGCCATCCAGGACCACTATGGCCAGTACATCACTGGGGCCAACCTTCCTGCCATCCAGGACCACTATGGCCAGTCCATCAGTGGGGCCAACCTTCCTGCCATCCAGGACCACTATGGCCAGTACATCACTGGGGCCAACCTTCCTGCCATCCAGGACCACTATGGCCAGTACATCACTGGGGCCAACCTTCCTGCCATCCAGGACCACTATGGCCAGTACATCAGTGGGGCCAACCTTCCTGCCATCCAGGACCACTATGGCCAGTACATCACTGGGGCCAACCTTCCTGCCATCCAGGACCACTATGGCCAGTACATCAGTGGGGCCAACCTTCCTGCCATCCAGGACCACTATGGCCAGTACATCAGTGGGGCCAACCTTCCTGCCATCCAGGACCACTATGGCCAGTACATCACTGGGGCCAACCTTCCTGCCATCCAGGACCACTATGGCCAGTCCATCACTGGGGCCAACCTTCCTGCCATCCAGGACCACTATGGCCAGTACATCAGTGGGGCCAACCTTCCTGCCATCCAGGACCACTATGGCCAGTACATCAGTGGGGCCAACCTTCCTGCCATCCAGGACCACTATGGCCAGTACATCAGTGGGGCCAACCTTCCTGCCATCCAGGACCACTATGGCCAGTACATCAGTGGGGCCAACCTTCCTGCCATCCAGGACCACTATGGCCAGTACATCACTGGGGCCAACCTTCCTGCCATCCAGGACCACTATGGCCAGTACATCAGTGGGGCCAACCTTCCTGCCATCCAGGACCACTATGGCCAGTACATCACTGGGGCCAACCTTCCTGCCATCCAGGACCACTATGGCCAACCTTCCTGCCATCCAGGACCACTATGGCCAGTACATCACTGGGGCCAACCTTCCTGCCATCCAGGACCACTATGGCCAACCTTCCTGCCATCCAGGACCACTATGGCCAGTACATCACTGGGGCCAACCTTCCTGCCATCCAGGACCACTATGGCCAGTACATCACTGGGGCCAACCTTCCTGCCATCCAGGACCACTATGGCCAACCTTCCTGCCATCCAGGACCACTATGGCCAGTCCATCAGTGGGGCCAACCTTCCTGCCATCCAGGACCACTATGGCCAGTCCATCAGTGGGGCCAACCTACCTGCCATCCAGGACCACTATGGCCAGTACATCACTGGGGCCAACCTTCCTGCCATCCAGGACCACTATGGCCAGTACATCAGTGGGGCCAACCTTCCTGCCATCCAGGACCACTATGGCCAGTACATCACTGGGGCCAACCTTCCTGCCATCCAGGACCACTATGGCCAGTCCATCAGTGGGGCCAACCTTCCTGCCATCCAGGACCACTATGGCCAGTACATCACTGGGGCCAACCTTCCTGCCATCCAGGACCACTATGGCCAGTACATCACTGGGGCCAACCTTCCTGCCATCCAGGACCACTATGGCCAGTACATCACTGGGGCCAACCTTCCTGCCATCCAGGACCACTATGGCCAGTACATCAGTGGGGCCAACCTTCCTGCCATCCAGGACCACTATGGCCAGTACATCACTGGGGCCAACCTTCCTGCCATCCAGGACCACTATGGCCAGTACATCACTGGGGCCAACCTTCCTGCCATCCAGGACCACTATGGCCAGTACATCACTGGGGCCAACCTTCCTGCCATCCAGGACCACTATGGCCAGTCCATCAGTGGGGCCAACCTTCCTGCCATCCAGGACCACTATGGCCAGTACATCACTGGGGCCAACCTTCCTGCCATCCAGGACCACTATGGCCAGTACATCACTGGGGCCAACCTTCCTGCCATCCAGGACCACTATGGCCAGTACATCAGTGGGGCCAACCTTCCTGCCATCCAGGACCACTATGGCCAGTACATCACTGGGGCCAACCTTCCTGCCATCCAGGACCACTATGGCCAGTACATCAGTGGGGCCAACCTTCCTGCCATCCAGGACCACTATGGCCAGTACATCAGTGGGGCCAACCTTCCTGCCATCCAGGACCACTATGGCCAGTACATCACTGGGGCCAACCTTCCTGCCATCCAGGACCACTATGGCCAGTCCATCACTGGGGCCAACCTTCCTGCCATCCAGGACCACTATGGCCAGTACATCAGTGGGGCCAACCTTCCTGCCATCCAGGACCACTATGGCCAGTACATCAGTGGGGCCAACCTTCCTGCCATCCAGGACCACTATGGCCAGTACATCAGTGGGGCCAACCTTCCTGCCATCCAGGACCACTATGGCCAGTACATCAGTGGGGCCAACCTTCCTGCCATCCAGGACCACTATGGCCAGTACATCAGTGGGGCCAACCTTCCTGCCATCCAGGACCACTATGGCCAGTACATCAGTGGGGCCAACCTTCCTGCCATCCAGGACCACTATGGCCAGTACATCACTGGGGCCAACCTTCCTGCCATCCAGGACCACTATGGCCAACCTTCCTGCCATCCAGGACCACTATGGCCAGTACATCACTGGGGCCAACCTTCCTGCCATCCAGGACCACTATGGCCAACCTTCCTGCCATCCAGGACCACTATGGCCAGTACATCACTGGGGCCAACCTTCCTGCCATCCAGGACCACTATGGCCAGTACATCACTGGGGCCAACCTTCCTGCCATCCAGGACCACTATGGCCAACCTTCCTGCCATCCAGGACCACTATGGCCAGTACATCACTGGGGCCAACCTTCCTGCCATCCAGGACCACTATGGCCAGTACATCAGTGGGGCCAACCTTCCTGCCATCCAGGACCACTATGGCCAGTACATCACTGGGGCCAACCTTCCTGCCATCCAGGACCACTATGGCCAACCTTCCTGCCATCCAGGACCACTATGGCCAGTACATCACTGGGGCCAACCTTCCTGCCATCCAGGACCACTATGGCCAACCTTCCTGCCATCCAGGACCACTATGGCCAGTACATCACTGGGGCCAACCTTCCTGCCATCCAGGACCACTATGGCCAGTACATCACTGGGGCCAACCTTCCTGCCATCCAGGACCACTATGGCCAACCTTCCTGCCATCCAGGACCACTATGGCCAGTACATCACTGGGGCCAACCTTCCTGCCATCCAGGACCACTATGGCCAGTACATCAGTGGGGCCAACCTTCCTGCCATCCAGGACCACTATGGCCAGTACATCAGTGGGGCCAACCTTCCTGCCATCCAGGACCACTATGGCCAGTACATCACTGGGGCCAACCTTCCTGCCATCCAGGACCACTATGGCCAGTCCATCACTGGGGCCAACCTTCCTGCCATCCAGGACCACTATGGCCAGTACATCACTGGGGCCAACCTTCCTGCCATCCAGGACCTTTACATTTACATTTACATTTTAGTCATTTAGCAGACGCTCTTATCCAGAGCGACTTACAGGAGCAATTAGGGTTAAGTGCCTTGCTCAAGGGCACATCGACAGATTTTTCACCTAGTCGGCTCGGGGATTAGAACCAGCGACCTTTCGGTTACTGGCACATCGCTCTTAACCACTAAGCTACCTGCCGCCTCTATACCAGGCGGTGTCAGAGGAAGGCTCTAAAAATTGTCAAAGACTCCAGCCACCCTAGTCATAGACTGTTCTCTCTGCTACCGCACGGCAAGCGGTACCGGAGCGCCAAGTCTAGGTCCAAAAGGCTTTTTTTTTTTTTTTTTTTTAGTCATTTAGCAGACGCTCTTATCCAGAGCGACTTACAGGAGCAATTAGGGTTAAGTGCCTTGCTCAAGGGCACATCGACAGATTTTTCACCTAGTCGGCTCGGGGATTAGAACCAGCGACCTTTCGGTTACTGGCACAACGCTCTTAACCACTAAGCTACCTGCCCCCCCCCTTCTTAACAGCTTCTACCCCCCAAGCCATAAGACTCCTGAACAGCTAATCAAATGGCTACCCGGACTATTTGCATTGTTTATTGTGATGGTGTACATTCAATTAATGTATTATACTTTTTTTAAATGTAGATGTTCCAAATGTGCACATCAGCGGCTTGTATGCCTGGAGGCCTGGAGGCCTGTATGCCTGGAGGCCTGTATGCCTGGAGGCCTGTATGCCTGGAGGCCTGGAGGCCTGTATGCCTGGAGGCCTGTATGCCTGTATGCCTGGAGGCCTGTATGCCTGGAGGCCTGTATGCCTGTATGCCTGTATGCCTGGAGGCCTGGAGGCCTGTATGCCTGGATGCCTGTATGCCTGGAGGCCTGTATGCCTGTATGCCTGGAGGCCTGGAGGCCTGTATGCCTGTATGCCTGGAGGCCTGTATGCCTGTATGCCTGTATGCCTGTATGCCTGTATGCCTGTATGCCTGTATGCCTGGAGGCCTGGAGGCCTGTATGCCTGGAGGCCTGTAGGCCTGGAGGCCTGTATGCCTGGATGCCTGGAGGCCTGGAGGCCTGTATGCCTGTATGCCTGGAGGCCTGTATGCCTGGAGGCCTGTATGCCTGTATGCCTGTATGCCTGGAGGCCTGGAGGCCTGTATGCCTGGAGGCCTGTATGCCTGTATGCCTGTATGCCTGGAGGCCTGGAGGCCTGGAGATGCAAAAGGTGTTTATGGTAATTAATGGTCAATTACCGTGAGACCGGCAGTCTTTTGCATGACAATAACCGCCACAGCCCTAACCATGGTCAACGTGTACTGGTAGTTACAGAAGTCCTGTAGAGTAAAGTAATAACATTATATTACATTAAAAACTCTGTTAGCCTGGTCCCAGATCTGTACGTGGTGACCGACTATTTAAACTCTGTTAGCCTGATCCCAGATCTGTACGTCATGACCGACTATTTAAACTCTGTTTGCCTGGTCCCAGATCTGTACGTCATGACCGACTATTTAAACTCTGTTTGCCTGGTCCCAGATCTGTACGTCGTGACCGACTATTTAAACTCTGTTTGCCTGGTCCCAGATCTGTACGTGGTGACCAGACTATTTAAAAACGGTTTGCCTGATCCCAGATCTGTACGTGGTGACCAGACTATTTAAACTCTGTTTGCCTGGTCCCAGATCTGTACGTGGTGACCAGACTATTTAAACTCTGTTTGCCTGGTCCCAGATCTGTACGTGGTGACTGACTATTTAAACTCTGTTTGCCTGATCCCAGATCTGTACGTGGTGACCAGACTATTTAAAAACGGTTTGCCTGGTACTATTTAAACTCTGTTTGCCTGATCCCAGATCTGTACGTGGTGACTGACTATTTAAACTCTGTTTGCCTGATCCCAGATCTGTACGTGGTGACTGAATGAGTAATACAGCAGAAGTGAAGCTGTGATTCTTACCACTAGCAGTGTCATGATGGTGTGACCCGTCTCTCCAAACAGGGGTTTTCTGAACCGCACACTGAAGAGAGGGCAGGGGTAGACTAAAACATACAACCACCAGGTTCAGGCATGAAACGGAAAACATTTAGAAACGGAACAATCACATCAGAGTTGCCAGTACATTACAAATTGTGCCCAGCCCAAAAAATATAATACAATCTAAACTAAATGCAACCCAACCATACCCAACCCAGCCCAACCATACCCAACCCAGCCATACCCAACCCAACCCAGCCCAACCATACCCAACCCAACCCAGCCATACCCAACCCAACCCAGCCATACCCAACCCAACCATACCCAACCCAACCCACCCCATACCCAACCCAACCATACCAACCCAACCCAACCCAGCCCAACCATACCCAACCCAACCCAGCCATACCCAACCCAACCCAGCCATACCCAACCCAACCCAACCATACCCAACCCAACCATACCCAACCCAACCCACCCCAACCCCCAACCCACCCACCATACCCAACCCACCAAACCCAGCCATACCAACCCAACCCACCACCTACCCCCCAACCCACCCCCCAACCCATACCAACCCACCCAACCCAGCCATACCCACCCAACCCACCATACCCACCCAACCCAGCCATACCCAACCCACCCCATACCCAACCCACCATAACCCACAAGTTAACCCACCACCCAAACCAACCCAAAGTTAACCTACCCAGTTAACCAAACCACCCCCCTCCGTACTCACACTGTACTCGGCGCCAGCGCAGCATGAGCCTGAGGGGAACCCATGCCCAGGGGGGTCTCCCAACTTCTCTTCAGGCAAACCACGCCCAAACAGGTAGGGGGGGTTGGGGAGGCATCAGGTCCTGGAGGGCCTGGAAGGACGGAGAGACGTAGAGGAACCCTCCGTGCTCCCTGCTGCCCAGGAAACTCTGGGTGAAGAACGAGTGGCCCAGGTGGGTCAGGACGTTACCTGGAGGGGAGAGAAGAACATTGGTTAAAAGAAGGAGGAGAGGAAAGGAAAGGGGGGGGAGAGTTTGAGTGTTAAAACGCCTTTTATTTGTGGCGCAGCGGTCTAAGGCACTGCATCGCAGTGCTGAGGCGCCACTACAGCCTGGGGTTTGATGCCAGGCTGTGTCCCAGCCGGCCGTGACCAGGAGCCCCATGGGGCGGCGCACAATTGGCCCGGCGTCGTCCGGGATAGGGGAGGGTTTGGCCGGAGGGATTTCCTTGGCTCATCGTGCTCTAGCGACTCCTTGTGGCGGGCCCGGGCGCCTGCAAGCTGACGTCGGTCGTCAGTTGGACGGTGTTTCCTCCGACACATTGGTGCGGCTGGCTTCCGGGTTAAGCGAGCTTTGTGTCAAGAAGCAGTGCGGCTTGGCAGGTCATGTTTCGGAGGACGCATGGCTCTTGACCTTCGCCTCTCTCGAGTCCATTGGGGAGTTGCAGCAATTTTTATTTTTATTTATTTTACCTTTATTTAACTAGGCAAGTCAGTTAAGAACAAATTCTTATTTACAATGACGGCCTACACCGGCCAAACCCACAGCTCACAGCTTCAATGGTCTTTAAGGAGTGAATACAGAGCTCACAGCTTCAATGGTCTTTAAGGAGTGAATACAGAACTCACAGCTTCAATGGTCTTTAAGGAGTGAATACAGAGCTCACAGCTTCAATGGTCTTTAAGGAGTGAATACAGAGCTCACAGCTTCAATGGTCTTTAAGGAGTGAATACAGAGCTCACAGCTTCAATGGTCTTTAAGGAGTGAATACAGAGCTCACAGCTTCAATGGTCTTTAAGGAGTGAATACAGAGCTCACAGCTTCAATGGTCTTTAAGGAGTGAATACAGAGCTCACAGCTTCAATGGTCTTTAAGGAGTGAATACAGAACTCACAGCTTCAATGGTCTTTAAGGAGTGAATACAGAGCTCACAGCTTCAATGGTCTTTAAGGAGTAAAGTACTGACACTGTCCTGTATATCCAACCACTCCAGTACCCCTGCACATTGAATAAGGTACTGGGACTGACCTGTATATCCAACCACTCCAGTACCCCTGCACATTGAATAAGGTACTGGGACTGACCTGTATATCCAACCACTCCAGTACCCCTGCACATTGAATAAGGTACTGGGACTGACCTGTATATCCAACCACTCCAGTACCCCTGTACATTGAATAAGGTACTGGTACTGACCTGTATATACATCCATTGAAAGCAGGTGGTTCCACACTGGTGTGGTTCCTGAGTTAATTAAGCAATTAAAACATCCCATCATGCTTAGGGTCATGTATAAAAATGCTGGGCAGGCCGTTATTTTGGCTACCATGGCTATGCCCCCATAGGATGACAATGCCCCCATCCACAGGGCACGAGTGGTCACTGAATGGTTTGATGACCATGAAAACTATGGAAACCATATGCCACGGCCGTCTCAGTCACCAGATCTCAACCCAATTCAACACTTACGGGAGATTCTGGAGCGGCGCCTGAGACTGCGTTTCCTACCACCATCAACAAAACACCAAATGATGTAATTTCTCGTGGAAGAACGATGTCGCATCCCTCCAATAGAGTTCCAGACACTTGTAGAATCTATGCCAAGGTGCATTGAAGCTGTTCTGGCTCGTGGTGACCCAATGCCCTGTTAAGACACTTTATGTTGGGGTTTCCTTTATGTTGGCGGTTACCTGAATATCGAACTTTCTTGTGTGTTTTTATTAGTTTATTCTATTTCCTGTTATTATCTATATCATCATTACTAATCACTGCATTGTTGGGAAAGAGCTTTCAAGGTAAGAATTTCACTGTACTGTTTTACACCTGTTGTATCCTGTGCAAGTGGCAAATAAACTTTGAAACTTGAAACTAACTGTGAGGGTAACCTGGCTGGGAAGGATCAACTCCACTATGTGGACCTCTAGATCTACCAGCACATTTTCCCCCATGTGAGCCTCCTGGCAGAGCTGTTTAATATAATCTTAAGTAGGCCTCCTGGTTGAGGTAGCATACTGGTCTTATTATACCTGTGAAGGCCTCCTGGTAGAGCTGTAAAATGTCTTAGTAGGCCTCCTAATGGTGGTATTTGTCGTATTTTACCCATGACGGCCTCCTGGTGGAGGTAGGGCCTCCTGATTGAGTTATATTACACTAACCTGTGAGGGCCTCCTGGTGGAGGTATGTTAAACTAACCTGTGAGGGCCTCTTGGTAGAGGTATGTTAAACTAACCTGTGAGGGCCTCTTGGTGGAGGAATATTAAACTAACCTGTGAGGGCCTCTTGGTGGAGGTATATTAAAAGTTTTAGAACACCTACTCATACAAGGGTTTTTCTTTATTTTTACTATTTTTTACATTGTAGAATAATAGTGAAGACATAAAACATTTGAAATAACACATATGGAATCATGTAGTAACCAAAGAAGTGTTAAACAAATCAAAATATATTTTATATTTGAGATTCTTCAAGTAGCCACCCTTTGCCATGATGACAGCTTTGCACACTCTTGGCATTCTCTCAACCAGCTTCACCTGGAATGCTTTTCAAACAGTCTTGAAGGAGTTCCCACATATGCTGAGCACTTGTTGGCTGCTTTTCCTTCACTCTGCGTTCCGACTCATCCCAAACCATCTCAATTTGATTACGGTCGGGGGATTGTGGAGGCCAGGTCATCTGATGCAGCACTCCATCACTCTCCTTCTTGGTCAAATAGCCCTTACACAGCCTGGAGGTGTGTTGGGTCATTGTCCTGTTGAAAAACAATTGATAGTCCCACTAAGCCCAAACCAGATGGGATGGCATATCGCTGCAGAATGCTGTGGTAGCCATGCTGGTTAAGTGTGCCTTGAATTCGAAATAATCACAGACAGTGTCACCAGCAAAGCACCCCCACACCATAACACCTCCTCCTCCATGCTTTACGGTGGGAACTACACATGCAGAGATCATCCGTTCACCCACACCGCGTCTCAGAAAGAAACGCCGGTTGGAACCAAAAATCTCCAATTTGGACTCCAGACCAAAGGACACATTTCCACCGGTCTAATATCCATTGCTCATGTTTCTTGGCCCAAGCAAGTCTCTTCTTCTTATTGGTGTCCTTTAGTAGTGGTTTCTTTGCAGCAATTTGACCATGAAGGCCTGATTTGACTGACCTTCACGTCTTAAAGTAGAAGACTGTCGTTTCTCTTTGCTTATTTGAGCTGTTCTTGCCATTATATGGACTTGGTCTTTTACCAAATAGGGCTATCTTATGTGTACCTTGTCACAACACAACTGATTGGCTCAAATGCATTAAGAAGGAAATAAATTCCACAAATTAACTTTTAAGAAGGCACACCTGTTAATTGAAATGCATTCCAGGTGACTACCTCATGAAGCTGGTTGAGAGAATGCCAAGAGTGTGCAAAGCTGTCATCAAGGCTATTTGAAGAATCTCAAATATAAAATATATTTTGATTTGTTTAACACTTTTTTGGTTACTGCATGATTCCATATGTGTTATTTCATAGTTTTGATGTCTTCACTATTATTCTACAATGTAGAAAATAGTAAAAATTAAGAAAAACCCTTGAATGAGTAGGTGTTCTAAAACTTTTGACTGGTACTGTATATTAAATTAGCCTATGAGGGCCTCTTGGTGGAGGTATATTAAACTAACCTGTGAGGGCCTCTTGGTGGAGGTATATTAAACTAACCTGTGAGGGCCTCCTGGTGGAGGTATATTAAACTAACCTGTGAGGGCCTCTTGGTGGAGGTATATTAAATTAACCTGTGAGGGCCTCTTGGTGGAGGTATATTAAACTAACCTGTGAGGGCCTCCTGGTGGAGGTATATTAAACTAACCTGTGAGGGCCTCCTGGTGGAGGTATATTAAACTAACCTGTGAGGGCCTCCTGGTGGAGGTATATTAAACTAACCTTTGAGGGCCTCCTGGTAGAGCTGTACGAAGTGGCTGAAGATGTCTTTGGGGATGCTCTTCTCGTCAGGCAGACACTGCAGCAGCACCACCACCTCAGCCTGGCCCACTGCATGCATCCCCTTACTGGTCACATACCAACACTTCCTGTTTACGTCTACAGGAAGGGAGCAAGGGAGAGCCGAGAGAAGGTTACCATAGAATGTAGAATAAGTGATTCTAGTAATGAGTGATAGTACTGTGGGACCATAGAGGGGGGGGGGGGGTATAGATATATACTCTCATTATATATTTACTTCTCTAGTAGTGTGAGGAAAAACAACAGCCAAACTGCTGAATCAGACAAGCTCCTCAGAGTGAGGTCAGAATAAACTGACATTATGACATCTACAGTATATGAAACGATGCTGGTGTTGCTAGTTGAAGCTGGAAGGACCTTATCGAGACACTCACAGTTGAACTGGAAGGACCTTATCGAGACACTCACAGTTGACCTGGAAGGACCTTATCGAGACACTCACAGTTGACCTGGAAGGACCTTATCGAGACACTCACAGTTGACCTGGAAGGACCTTATCGAGACACTCACAGTTGACCTGGAAGGACCTTATCGAGACACTCACAGTTGACCTGGAAGGACCTTATCGAGACACTCACAGTTGACCTGGAAGGACCTTATCGAGACACTCACAGTTGACCTGGAAGGACCTTATCGAGACACTCACAGTTGACCTGGAAGGACCTTATCGAGACACTCACAGTTGACCTGGAAGGACCTTATCGAGACACTCACAGTTGACCTGGAAGGACCTTATCGAGACACTCACAGTTGACCTGGAAGGACCTTATCGAGACACTCACAGTTGACCTGGAAGGACCTTATCGAGACACTCACAGTTGACCTGGAAGGACCTTATCGAGACACTCACAGTTGACCTGGAAGGACCTTATCGAGACACTCACAGTTGACCTGGAAGGACCTTATCGAGACACTCACAGTTGACCTGGAAGGACCTTATCGAGACACTCACAGTTGACCTGGAAGACCTTACGAGACACTCACAGTTGACCTGGAGGACCTTATCGAGACCCACATTACTGGAGGAAGGACCTTATCGAGACACTCACAGTTGACCTGGAAGGACCTTATCGAGACACTCACAGTTGACCTGGAAGGACCTTATCGAGACACTCACAGTTGACCAGTCTGACCATGGCCAGCAGGTTGGCATTGAGCACAAACACCAGCGGGTCAGGACCTCCGTCCTCCAGCGGGTCAGGACCTCCGTCCTCCAGCGGGTCAGGACCTCCGTCCTCCAGCGGGTCAGGACCTCCGTCCTCCAGCGGGTCAGGACCTCCGGTCCTCCAGCGGGGTCAGGACCCTCCGTCCTCCAGCGGGTCAGGACCTCTCCGTACCCTCCTCCAGCGGGTCAGGACCTCCGTCTCCAGCGGGGTCAGGAACTCCTTCCTCCAGCGGGTCAGGACCTCCGTCCTCCAGCGGGTCAGGACCTCCGTCCTCCAGCGGGTCAGGACCTCCGTCCTCCAGCGGGTCAGGACCTCCGTCCTCCAGCGGGTCAGGACCTCCGTCCTCCAGCGGGTCAGGACCTCCGTCCTCCAGCGGGTCAGGACCTCCGTCCTCCAGCGGGTCAGGACCTCCGTCCTCCAGCTGCTGCATCAGAATCATCTCAGAGGGACGCTCCTCCACCGCGCAGTCTGAGGGGGGCGATGCTGGTGGGGGAAAACACACAGTTACCAAACAGGGACATCTCACAACGAACCCCAATGTACCCCAATGTACCCCAATGTACCCCCCAGCACCACACCCCTCCCAGCTTGCTACATTGACATGATCGCTGGACAACAAAGGTGACACACAGAAGAAAACACACACAGTGTGATGTACAGTGAGGTGAGGACGGGGGAGGTTGAGGTGTGGTGGACAGTGAGGTGAGGACGGGGGAGGTTAAGGTGTGATGGACAGTGAGGTGAGGACGGGGGAGGTTAAGGTGTGATGGACAGTGAGGTGAGGACGGGGGAGGTTAAGGTGTGATGGACAGTGAGGTGAGGACGGGGGAGGTTAAGGTGTGATGGACAGTGAGGTGAGGACGGGGGAGGTTAAGGTGTGATGGACAGTGAGGTGAGGACGGGGGAGGTTAAGGTGTGATGGACAGTGAGGTGAGGACGGGGGGAGGTTAAGGTGTGATGGACAGTGAGGTGAGGACGGGGGAGGTTAAGGTGTGATGGACAGTGAGGTGAGGACGGGGGAGGTTGAGTGATGGACAGTGAGGTGAGGACGGGGGAGGTTAAGGTGTGGTGGACAGTGAGGTGAGGACGGGGGAGGTTAAGGTGTGGTGGACAGTGAGGTGAGGACGGGGGAGGTTGAGTGATGGACAGTGAGGTGAGGACGGGGGAGGTTAAGGTGTGATGGACAGTGAGGTGAGGACGGGGGAGGTTAAGGTGTGATGGACAGTGAGGTGAGGACGGGGGAGGTTAAGGTGTGGTGGACAGTGAGGTGAGGACGGGGGAGGTTAAGGTGTGATGGACAGTGAGGTGAGGACGGGGGAGGTTAAGGTGTGATGGACAGTGAGGTGAGGACGGGGGAGGTTGAGGTGTGATGGACAGTGAGGTGAGGACGGGGGAGGTTAAGGTGTGATGGACAGTGAGGTGAGGACGGGGGAGGTTAAGGTGTGATGGACAGTGAGGTGAGGACGGGGGAGGTTAAGGTGTGATGGACAGTGAGGTGAGGACGGGGGAGGTTAAGGTGTGATGGACAGTGAGGTGAGGACGGGGGAGGTTAAGGTGTGGTGGACAGTGAGGTGAGGACGGGGGAGGTTGAGGTGTGATGGACAGTGAGGTGAGGACGGGGGAGGTTAAGGTGTAATGGACAGTGAGGTGAGGACGGGGGAGGTTAAGGTGTGATGGACAGTGAGGTGAGGACGGGGGAGGTTAAGGTGTGATGGACAGTGAGGTGAGGACGGGGGAGGTTGAGGTGTGATGGACAGTGAGGTGAGGACGGGGGAGGTTAAGGTGTGATGGACAGTGAGGTGAGGACGGGGGAGGTTAAGGTGTGATGGACAGTGAGGTGAGGACGGGGGAGGTTAAGGTGTAATGGACAGTGAGGTGAGGACGGGGGAGGTTAAGGTGTGATGGACAGTGAGGTGAGGACGGGGGAGGTTGAGTGATGGACAGTGAGGTGAGGACGGGGGAGGTTAAGGTGTGATGGACAGTGAGGTGAGGACGGGGGAGGTTAAGGTGTGATGGACAGTGAGGTGAGGACGGGGGAGGTTAAGGTGTGATGGACAGTGAGGTGAGGACGGGGGAGGTTAAGGTGTGATGGACAGTGAGGTGAGGACGGGGGAGGTTAAGGTGTAATGGACAGTGAGGTGAGGACGGGGGAGGTTAAGGTGTGATGGACAGTGAGGTGAGGACGGGGGAGGCAGAGACAGCCCTTGCTGTCTCTGCCAGGCCGGTTCCCCTCTCCACTGGGGTTCTCTGCCTCTAACCCTGTTGCAGGGGCTGAGTCACTGGCTTGCTGGTGCTCTTTCATGCCGTCCCTGGGAGGGGTGCGTCACTTGAGTGGGTTGAGTTACTGACGTGATCTTCCTGTCTGGGTTGGCGCCCCCCCCTTGGTTTGTGCTGTGGTGGAGACCTCTGTGGGCTATACTCGGCCTTGTCTCAGGATTGTAAGTTGGTGGTTGGGGATATCCCTCTAGTGGTGCGGGGGCTGTGCTTTGGCGGAGTGGGTGGGGTTATATCCTTCCTGTTTGGCCCTGTCCGGGGGTTTCTTCGGATGGGGCCACAGTGTCTCCGGACCGCTCCTGTCTCAGCCTCCAGTATTTATGCTGCAGTAGTTTATGTGTCGGGGGGCTGGGGTTAGTTGGTTATACCTGGAGTACTTCTCCTGTCTTATCCAGTGTCCTGTGTGAATTTAAGTATGCTCTCTCTAATTCTCTCGTTCTCTCTTTCTCTCTGAGAACCTGAGCCCTAGGACCATACGTCAGGACTACCGGGCATGCTGACATCTTGCTGTCCCCAGTCCGCCTGGCCTTGCTGCTATTCCAGTTTCAACTGTTCTGCCTGCGGCTACGAAACCCCTACCTGTCCCAGACCTGCTGTTTTCAACTCTTAATGATCGGCTATGAAAAGCCAACTGAGAGACCTGAGCCCTAGGACCATACGTCGGGACTACCGGCCGTGGTGACTCCTTGCTGTCCCCAGTCCGCCTGGCCTTGCTGCTATTCCAGTTTCAACTGTTCTGCCTGCGGTTATGGAACCCCTACCTGTCCCAGACCTGCTGTTTTCAACTCTTAATGATCGGCTATGAAAAGCCAACTGAGATTTATTCCTGATTATTATTTGACCATGCTTGTCACTTATGAACATTTTTGAACATCTTGGCATGGTTCTGTTATAATCTCCACCCGGCACAGCCAGAAGAGGACTGGCCACCCCTCATAGCCTGGTTCCTCTCTAGGTTTCTTCCTAGGTTTTCGCCTTTCTAGGGAGTTTTTCCTAGCCACCGTGCTTCTACACCTGCATTACTAGCTGTTTGGGGTTTTAGGCTGGGTTTCTGTACAGCACTTCGAGATATTAGCTGATGTAAGAAGGGCTATATAAAATAAAATTGATTGATTGATTGATTAAGGTGTGGTGGACAGTGAGGTGAGGACGGGGGAGGTTAAGGTGTGATGGACAGTGAGGTGAGGACGGGGGAGGTTAAGGTGTGATGGACAGTGAGGTGAGGACGGGGGAGGTTAAGGTGTAATGGACAGTGAGGTGAGGACGGGGGAGGTTAAGGTGTGGTGGACAGTGAGGTGAGGACGGGGGAGGTTAAGGTGTGATGGACAGTGAGGTGAGGACGGGGGAGGTTAAGGTGTGATGGACAGTGAGGTGAGGACGGGGGAGGTTAAGGTGTGGTGGACAGTGAGGTGAGGACGGGGGAGGTTAAGGTGTGATGGACAGTGAGGTGAGGACGGGGGAGGTTAAGGTGTGGTGGACAGTGAGGTGAGGACGGGGGAGGTTAAGGTGTAATGGACAGTGAGGTGAGGACGGGGGAGGTTAAGGTGTGGTGGACAGTGAGGTGAGGACGGGGGAGGTTAAGGTGTGATGGACAGTGAGGTGAGGACGGGGGAGGTTAAGGTGTAATGGACAGTGAGGTGAGGACGGGGGAGGTTAAGGTGTGGTGGACAGTGAGGTGAGGACGGGGGAGGTTAAGGTGTGATGGACAGTGAGGTGAGGACGGGGGAGGTTAAGGTGTAATGGACAGTGAGGTGAGGACGGGGGAGGTTAAGGTGTGGTGGACAGTGAGGTGAGGACGGGGGAGGTTAAGGTGTGGTGGACAGTGAGGTGAGGACGGGGGAGGTTAAGGTGTGGTGGACAGTGAGGTGAGGACGGGGGAGGTTAAGGTGTGATGGACAGTGAGGTGAGGACGGGGGAGGTTAAGGTTAAGGTGTGATGGACAGTGAGGTGAGGACGGGGGAGGTTAAGGTGTGGTGGACAGTGAGGTGAGGACGGGGGAGGTTAAGGTGTGATGGACAGTGAGGTGAGGACGGGGGAGGTTAAGGTGTTGATGGACAGTGAGGTGAGGACGGGGGAGGTTAAGGTGTAATGGACAGTGAGGTGAGGACGGGGGAGGTTAAGGTGTGATGGACAGTGAGGTGAGGACGGGGGAGGTTAAGGTGTAATGGACAGTGAGGTGAGGACGGGGGAGGTTAAGGTGTGGTGGACAGTGAGGTGAGGACGGGGGAGGTTAAGGTGTGATGGACAGTGAGGTGAGGACGGGGGAGGTTAAGGTGTAATGGACAGTGAGGTGAGGACGGGGGAGGTTAAGGTGTGGGACAGTGAGGTGAGGGACGGGGGAGGTTAGGTGTGGTGGACAGTGAGGTGAGGACGGGGGAGGTTAAGGTGTGGTGGACAGTGATGGTGAGGACGGGGGAGGTTAAGGTGTGATGGACAGTGAGGTGAGGACGGGGGAGGTTAAGGTTAAGGTGTGATGGACAGTTGAGGTGAGGACGGGGGAGGTTAAGGTGTGGTGGACAGTGAGGTGAGGACGGGGGAGGTTAAGGTGTGATGGACAGTGAGGTGAGGACGGGGGAGGTTAAGGTGTGATGGACAGTGAGGTGAGGACGGGGGAGGTTAAGGTGTATGGACAGTGAGGTGAGGACGGGGGAGGTTAAGGTGTAATGGACAGTGAGGTGAGGACGGGGGAGGTTGAGTGATGGACCAGTGAGGTGAGGACGGGGGAGGTTAAGGTGTAATGGACAGTGAGGTGAGGACGGGGGAGGTTAAGGTGTAATGGACAGTGAGGTGAGGACGGGGGAGGTTGAGTGATGGACAGTGAGGTGAGGACGGGGGAGGTTAAGGTGTAATGGACAGTGAGGTGAGGACGGGGGAGGTTAAGGTGGTAATGGACAGTGAGGTGAGGACGGGGGAGGTTAAGGTGTGATGGACAGTGAGGTGAGGACGGGGGAGGTTAAGGTGTAATGGACAGTGAGGTGAGGACGGGGGAGGTTAAGGTGTGATGGACAGTGAGGTGAGGACGGGGGAGGTTAAGGTGTAATGGACAGTGAGGTGAGGACGGGGGAGGTTAAGGTGTGGTGGACAGTGAGGTGAGGACGGGGGAGGTTAAGGTGTGATGGACAGTGAGGTGAGGACGGGGGAGGTTAAGGTGTGATGGACAGTGAGGTGAGGACGGGGGAGGTTAAGGTGTGGCCTCCCGTACCTCCTTTAACTCCGGTGGAGGTGAGGATGGGAGGAAGGCCGTCCTCCGGAATTAGACTGACGGAGCTGCCTACAGGGCTTCCCACGGTGGTCGCAGGGGCAGGGGACGATGCCTGGAGGGGGGAGGAGGAGGAAGAGGAGGAGGAGAGGGTTTAAGTACAGAAAAACAGGTGTGGAGAATTGTAGAAGGCTGAATAAATCTGTAATTGGCAGACAACCCTTCATATTCACATTCAGCAATTCAGAGTGTGTGTGTTTGTGTGTTAGGAGTTCCAGTCATTGGATGAGTCAGAGATCAGTACAGACAAAGGCATTAAAGGTTTTACCAGTGATTCTAGTCTACAGACAAGCTGAGTGGTGAGTCACTTTCTAACCTGTTGCTACTCTACCAGGCATGCCCAGTCCAGACAGACGTCAACAACTAAACTACATTATCTGGTCACACTTCACTGCTGAAGATGACGGGAAACAGTCTGTATGAAAAGGCTTTTCATTCTAGAAACTCTAAGGTCAACCCAGGGACAACTTGTCCAGGTGTGTTTCCTCCTAGTCGTAGTCAGTCAGTCAGCTCCTGATAGGAGGACTATAAACCAACCTCAGAATATCAATAATAAAAAGGTCAATGCTAGACTTTTGCTTAAATTCCTCTTTAACAAACTGTAAGATGTGACCTTTTGAGCTTTGGTGCCAACCGTACCTCTCGCAAATCAGTAGAGAAGGATTTGTTGGAACACTGTGAGACAGCCAATGGTTGCGAGGGGGCGGGGCTGGAAGCTGAGGGCTTGGGGGATTCTGCTGCCTCCCCATTCGCCAGGATTCCATCTGCAAACCACACCCTCTTCCGCTCCCGCGAGAGGAAACCTGCACACCCTGTGACGCCCACACACACAGGTTGGATAAATCCAAAATTTAACACAGAAAACAAAACTATTATCAAAAGAAAGCAACTAGGGTGGAAACGTCCTATTGGGTGAGAAAGAGGAAGCATTCATAAAAAGCAAAAAAGGAAAGGAAACAGGAAGATAGGTCAGAGGTCAGAGGTTATACAGGGTCGTATTCATTAGCGCACACCATAGCAAAACATTTTGCAACGGAAAACAGTGCATTTCTTATTGGATAAGCTCAGGTAGTCCCTCCCTGTTCCAGTCAGTTATATTCCGTTTGGTGCCTAATGAACAAGGTCCCTGGTGTTTAGGTGTGTCATGGAGAGGTGGTTACCCTCTGAGCCGGGTGTTTTAGGGACCCCCACAGGGACCATGACGGGGGGAGGAAGGGAGGCCAGTGCCCCTGAGGCTTGGACCTGCTGCAGAGGTGGGACGGTACTGCAGAACTCTGCTGGGTTGTTGGGGTTAGGACTCTGGTTAGACCCGCCACACGTACCCTCCCGCGAATGAGCTGACGGCAAAAAGGAGACGGAGATATAGGATCAATATACTGTAGGGAGCTATAGGATCAATATAGGGCAATACAGGATCAATACAGGGAGATACAGGATCAATACAGGGAGACATCGGATCAATACAGGGAGACATCGGATCAATACAGGGAGACATCGGATCAATACAGGGAGACATCGGATCAATTCAGGGAGACATCGGATCAATACAGGGAGTCATCGGATCAATTCAGGGAGACATCGGATCAATTCAGGGAGACATCGGATCAATTCAGGGAGACATCGGATCAATACAGGGAGACATCGGATCAATACAGGGAGACATCGGATCAATTCAGGGAGACATCGGATCAATACAGGGAGTCATCGGATCAATTCAGGGAGACATCGGATCAATTCAGGGAGACATCGGATCAATTCAGGGAGACATCGGATCAATTCAGGGAGACATCGGATCAATTCAGGGAGACATCGGATCAATACAGGGAGAAATAGGCTCAATATAGGATATATAACAATTATTCAAAATAAAAAACATAAATATCACATTTACTTAAGTATTCAGACCCTTTACTCAGTACTTTGTTGAAGCACCATTGGCAGCGATTACAGCCTCGAGTCTTCTTGGGTATGACGCTACAAGCTTGGCACACCTGTATTTGGGGAGTTTCTCCCATTCTTCTCTGCAGATCCTCTCAAGCTCTGTCAGGTTGGATAGGGAGCGTCGCTGCACAGCTATTTTCAGGTCTCTCCAGAGATGTTCGATCGGGTTCAAGTCCGGACTCTGGCTGGTCGACTCAAGGACATTCAGAGACTTGTCCCAAAGCCACTCCTGCGTTGTCTTGGCTGTGTGCTTAGGGTTGTTGTCGTGACGGAAGGTGAACCTTCGCCCCAGTCTGAGGTCCTGAGCGCTCTGGAGCAGATTTTCATCAAGGATCTCTCTGTACTTTGCTCCGTTCATCTTTCCCTCGATCCTGACTAGTCTCCCAGTCCCTGCCGCTGAAAAACATCCCCACAGCATGATGCTGCCACCACCATGCTTCACCGTAGGGATGGTGCCAGGTTTCCTCCAGATGTGACGCTTGGCATTCAGCCCAAAGAGCACAATCTTGGTTTCATCAGACCAGAGAATCTTGTTTCTCATGGTCTGAGAGTATTTAGGTGCCTTTTGGCTAAATCCAAGCGGGCTGTCATGTGCCTTTTACTGAGGAGTGGCTTCCGTCTGGCCACTCTACCATAAAGACCTGATTGGTGGAGTGCTGCAGAGATGGTTGTCCTTCTAGAAGGTTCTCCCATCTCCACAGAGGATCTCTGGAGCCTCCCTGACCAAAGCCCTTCTCCCCCAATTGCTCAGTTTGTCCGGGCGACCAGCTCTAGGAAGAGTCTTGGTGGCTCCAAACTTCTTCCATTTAAGAATGATGGAGGCCACTGTGTTCTTGGGACCTTCAATGCTGCAGAAATGTTTTGGTACCCTTCCCCAGATCTGTGCTGTAAAACAATCCTGTCTCTGAGCTCTACGGACAATTCCTTCAACCTCATGGCTTGGTTTTGCTCTGACATGCACTGTCAACTGTGGGACCTTATATAGACAGGTGTGTGCCTTTCCAAATCATGTCCAATCAATTGATTTTACCACAGGTGGACTCCAATCAAGTTGTAGAAACATCAAGGATGATCAATGGAAACAGGATGCACCTGAGCTCAATTACGAGTCTCATAGCAAAGGGTCTGAATACTTATGTAAATACGTTTTTTTTTTTTTTATATACATTTGCAAAAATGTCTAAAAACCTGTTTTTGATTTGTCATTTTGGGTTATTGTGTGTAGATTGATGAGGGAAAAAAATAATTTAATCAATTTTAGAATAAGGCTGTAACGTAACAAAATGTGGATAAATATAGGGAGATATAGAATCAATATAGGGAGATATAGGATCAATATAGGGAGATATAGGATCAATATAGGGAGATATAGGATCAATATAGAATCAATATAGGGAAGACAGGAAGGTATGCAGTAGACTATTGCTATGCCATTTAACTACGGCCAGGAGTTTTTCCACACCTTACAACTAGGGCCAGGAGTTTTTCCACACCTTACAACTAGGGCCAAGACCAAACCCCAACCAAACCAAAGCTATGGAAGAAGGATGTGGAGATGAAGTTGATTCTAGACGCTGCTCCAGGATCAGTATTGTGTTTACATCTTAATGGTTAAGGTCAGGAACGGGATGGAGTAAGCTGATCCTAGATCAGTGTAGTAATAGTGACTCACCACTCAGTAGGGCAGAGTGACAGGTGATGCAGACTCTGGCCTCCTTCCTGTCCATGTAGATCAGTCTGCTCCTCCGGCTGCAGCAGGCAGCACAGAACACCTGGGGACACATCGAAGAGCACAGAACACCTGGAGACACATCGAAGAGCACAGGACACCTGGGGACACATCGAAGAGCACAGAACACCTGGGGACACATCGAAGATCACAGAACACCTGGGACACATCGAAGAGCACAGAACACCTGGGGACACATCGAAGAGCACAGAACACCTGGGGACACATCGAAGAGCACAGAACACCTGGGGACACATCGAAGGAGCACAGAACACCTGGGGACACATCGAAGAGCACAGAACACCTGGGGACACATCGAAGAGCACAGAACACCTGGGGACACATCGAAGAGCACAGAACACCTGGGGACACATCGAAGAGCACAGAACACCTGGGGACACATCGAAGAGCACACCGAACACCTGGGGACACATCGAAGAGCACAGAACACCTGGGGACACCATCGAAGAGCACAGAACACCTGGGGACACATCGAAGAGCACAGAACACCTGGGACACATCGAAGAGCACAGAACACCTGGGGACACATCGAAGAGCACAGAACACCTGGGACACATCGAAGAGCACAGAACACCTGGGGACACATCGAAGAGCACAGAACACCTGGGGACACATCGAAGAGCACAGAACACCTGGAGACACATCGAAGAGCACAGAACACCTGGGGACACATCGAAGAGCACAGAACACCTGGAGACACATCGAAGAGCACAGAACACCTGGAGACACATCGAAGAGCATTGGAAATTGAAATGTAGTGTACTTCCTGAATCGACCCCCGACCCTGCTCAGGAGTGCTGGTATCGCGTGTCTCTATGAGAGAGAGACGTTCTCCTCTCCAGCCTGTCTTCTACCCAATTCAGCTTATAAACTGAATTCATACACACACCGTTCAGGCACACATCTGTAATGAAATCTCACTTGACGACACTTGTTTTCTCAAATTAAATTGACAAAATCATCACATTTTCACAACAACGATCTTACACACATTGTTATCTTATATACACTACACTCTTAGTGTGTAACCTTGGGAAATTAAGAAGGTGTTTGTCCACAGCAGACCTGTCCCAGTGCAGATTCAGCTGTAAAAGGCCCCTGTACCAGGCCATCCTAGAACCCTGTACCGGGCCATCCTAGAACCCTGTACCAGGCCATCCTAGAACTCTGTACCAGGCCATCCTAGAACTCTGTACCAGGCCATCCTAGAACCCTGTACCAGGCCATCCTAGAACCCTGTACCAGGCCATCCTAGAACCCTGTACCAGGCCATCCTAGAACCCTGTACCAGGCCATCCTAGAACCCTGTACCAGGCCATCCTAGAACCCTGTACCAGGCCATCCTAGAACTCTGTACCAGGCCATCCTAGAACCCTGTACCGGGCCATCCTAGAACCCTGTACCGGGCCATCCTAGAACTCTGTACCGGGCCATCCTAGAACCCTGTACCGGGCCATCCTAGAACCCTGTACCGGGCCATCCTAGAACTCTGTACCAGGCCATCCTAGAACTCTGTACCAGGCCATCCTAGAACCCTGTACCAGGCCATCCTAGAACCCTGTACCAGGCCATCCTAGAACCCTGTACCAGGCCATCCTAGAACCCTGTACCAGGCCATCCTAGAACCCTGTACCAGGCCATCCTAGAACCCTGTACCAGGCCATCCTAGAACAACCCAGCTCAACTTCAACGATTCAAATGGGATTATTTTATAGGAACAGGTCATGCCTTTCCTTAAATATCAGAAAACAAATCATTCAGTCGACATTCATTACGGCTATAGACTATGGTGATATAGTCTATATGAATGTAGCTTCTACTGTACTGAAGGCATTGGACGCAGTTTACCGTAGTGCCCTACGCTTTATTACGGTGATAGGTTCAGGACACATCACTGCATTCTGTATCAGAAAGTAGGCCGGCCCTCAAGTCTCGTAGCTCTCTTTTTGTTTATTAAGCCCTCTTGTGCAAACTTCAACCATACCTGACTTCATTGTTAAATTACAGACATACGAGTCACCTGACCCACAGGGATGGCTAATTCTGGAGGTCCCTTCCATCCCCACTGAGTTGGGTAAATCTGCTTTTAGTGTTTCTGCACCTTACGTGTGGAATGATCTCCAAAGCTCTCTAAAAATCGGTGCCTCTAGGGCATTTCAGACGAATGTTAGGATAACTTTTTACTGAAGAATGTGTCTGTTTATGATTGGGGTCTACATTTCCTGTATCGTTGTGTATAATAACATGTATTTTAATGTATATATGTACTTTAATGTGTATATTGTATTTTGATGTGTATTGTTGTGTTAAACAGGGCTCATCTGGAAAAGAGACCTTGGTCTCAGCATTGACTCCCTGTCAAAATAAAGGTTCAATAAAAAATAGAATCTGCACCCACCTTCCCACAGGCCCTGCAGTGATGCCTCCTCTTGGTGAAGGTGAAGCGGGCCTCACACTTCATACAGACTGGTGCCTGGGAGTCAGGGACCCACACCGGGGCCACATCCCCCAGGGAGGAGAGCAGTTTCCTGGGCAGAGCCCCCTGGTGGTGATACCCCGCCTGGAGGTCGTTGTCCGGGCTGCTCTCTGACGCCACCACCAGGCCCAACAATGATGACGGAGACCCGCTTAGCAACTCCCCATTAACAACCACAACACAACCACCAGGGTCACCCCCGGCAACGACAGTTGCTGTATCCGTGGTTACGCCACCGGCACGGTTCTCAAGGTTCTTGTTCTTGCAGACGGCGGTGGTGGTGTTAGCGGTAGGTGCTAGCTGGTTCTGGACGTGTCCGGATAGCGGCCAGGGGATCTGGAGTTTGACATTGACCGGTTGTTTGGGACGCGCCCCGCCAAACATCCCACTTAGTGGCTGCAGATGACTGTTGCTCAGTTTAGAACCAACACTGCTACCTCCTTCTCCTCCGTTCTCTTGCTTGCTCTCCTCCATCTCCTTTTCCTCCGTTACGGAGTCCTCCTTGGAGGGGGGAGGGAGGAGAGACTGCCCTTCCTCCTCCTCCTCTTCCTCCCCTGCAGTAGCCAGGCCGTTGGTAAGAGTCTTCTCCCCATCCTGACCTCCCCTGCTCTCCTTCTCCTTCTCTCCTTTCAACCTCTTCTGCTTCTGAGAGGAATTCCTACACTCCTTCTGCTCTCTCGGCCCCTCCATCGTCCCTCCTGTATTTCCATGACCTTCCTCCCCATTGTCCTGTGACTGTCCCCCAGCCATTCCAGCCTCCTCCCTACCACTGTCCTGAATAGGTGACCCAGCACCAGCTCTCTCAGTCTCTGGCTTGGAGTTCAACTTCTCTGCTATCGTCTCATCCCCTCCCAGCCTCTCCTCAAAGGTAAAGTGTGTGTGACTAACGTGGGAGCTTCCACCACTCCTCTCCCCACCCCTCTCCCCCACAGGGGCATCAGGGCATGGGTCCGAGGGGGTGGGGGGCTGGTGGTGGTCTGAAGGGGTAACGGTCACCCTTGTCTGGTTCCCCTTGCAGGGTTCTTCACTGAGCCCGCTGAGGGCAGGGCTGGCTGGACTAGAGGGGCTGGTAGAGGAGCAGCCGTTCTCCAGGGCTGAGTGGTGGTGGTGGTGGTGGTGGTAAGGAGGGGGGCTAGAGGAGGCTGACATAGGGGGGGACGAGCCCTCCTCACCCCCCAACAGCTTGCCGATGTTGGGCTGGGGGAGTGGAGGGCTCTGGACGTCTGCACGGCAGTCTGGTCGTTCTTCTCCCCAGGGTGGGGGCTCGGCGGTGGGGTGGCGTTTGGCGTCAGGCCCCTGGGGGTCGCTGGATGATGGGTCGGGGGGCGGGAGGGTCTTTACGGGGAGGGGGTCGAGGTCCGGGGTCAAAGACAGGGCAGGGTTCAGAGATAGTAGGTGGGCCGGAGGGGCCAGGATCTGAATCCACTTAACATCAGACAGACTGTCGGTCTCATCATCTGGGGAGGAAACAGGAAATAGAAGAGAGTCAATGCGTATCAAACTAAACAGGAAAGAGGGAACGATATTACCACAGACAACATGAGAACTGGAATGTAATACTAAACTACCAAATGTAAACTGTTACTGAAAGGGTTGGAGAAATGAAGAAACCAGGCTGGATGGGTGGAATCAGGTGGTGGGATGTATTGGGAGGGAGGTGGCTTGAAAATGGACCCCTTTCCCTCCTCCTCCTCCTCCTCCTCCTCCTCCTCCTCCTCCTCCTCCTCCTCCTCCTCCCCTCTCTTTCCTCTCCTCTCTCCCTCTCCTCCCCCTGTTTCTCTCCCCTGACAACCATCAGTCACCCTGACACATGAATACTGTCTGGAATGTTGGGAGGAGTCCACATTCCTGAACACCTACTTCCATTACACACACACACACACACCCTACACGCTCACACACACACACCCTACACCAACAACGCTCGCACGAAACACCCTACCTACCACACCACCCCCTCCCTCCCCCCCCCTCACCCCCACCACCCTCACCACCTCCACACCCTACCCTCACACACACCACCCTACCCACATCCACACACCTACACACACCCCCCCTACACCCACACACCACACCACCCTCCACACTCCACTCACACACCCTACACCACACACACACCACCCTCACACACCACACCACACCTACCTCACCACACACACCACCCTACACACACACACACACACACCCTACCACACACCTCCCCACACACCCTCCTACACCCACCACCTACACACCCACACGCTCATCACCTCCACCCTGACACCCAACACACACACCCACCCCTACACAATCACACACACACACCTACACACACACCCCCTACAGCCTCACACACCACGACAATCACCACCACTCCCACACACCACACACCCGAACGCCAACTCACTACAGCCCCAATAAGCACACACAGCCAACACACACCACACGCACACCCCGTACCAACATGGCTCAGCACAACACACCCACGACCTCTCCGTACCATGCACAGGCAGGCACACACAACACCCCACGAGCTCCTCCCCCTACCATGCACTGCACACACACACCACCCACCCCCCGAACACACCAGCTCCTCCCGTACCATGCATGCACAACACACACAACCCACGAGCTCTCGTACCATGGCATGCAGGCACACACACCCACGACCCTCTCACCATCATGGCAGGCACAACCACACCCCGAGCTCTCGACCAGGCATGCGCAGCCACAACCACACCACCCCACGGAGCTCTCCGTACCATGGCATGGCAGCACAACACACCCACGGAGCTCTCTGTACCATGCATGGCAGCACAACACACCCACGGAGCTCTCTGTACCATGGCATGGCAGGCACAACACACACCCACGGAGCTCTCCGTACCATGGCATGGCAGGCACAACACACCCACGGAGCTCTCTGTACCATGGCATGGCAGGCACAACACACCCACGGAGCTCTCTGTACCATGGCATGGCAGGCACAACACACCCACGGAGCTCTCCGTACCATGGCATGGCAGGCACAACACACCCACGGAGCTCTCCTGTACCATGGCATGGCAGGCACAACACACCCACGGAGCTCTCTGTACCATGGCATGGCAGGCACAACACACCCACGGAGCTCTCTGTACCATGGCATGGCAGGCACAACACACCCACGGAGCTCTCGTACCATGGCATGGCAGGCACAACACACCCACGGAGCTCTCTGTACCATGGCATGGCAGGCACAACACACCCACGGAGCTCTCTGTACCATGGCATGGCAGGCACAACACACCCACGGAGCTCTCTGTACCATGGCATGGCAGGCACAACACACCCACGGAGCTCTCTGTACCATGGCATGGCAGGCACAACACACCCACGGAGCTCTCTGTACCATGGCATGGCAGGCACAACACACCCACGGAGCTCTCTGTACCATGGCATGGCAGGCACAACACACCCACGGAGCTCTCTGTACCATGGCATGGCAGGCACAACACACCCACGGAGCTCTCTGTACCATGGCATGGCAGGCACAACACACCCACGGAGCTCTCTGTACCATGGCATGGCAGGCACAACACACCCACGGAGCTCTCTGTACCATGGCATGGCAGGCACAACACACCCACGGAGCTCTCTGTACCATGGCATGCGCACACACACACACCCACGGAGCTCTCCTGTCACCAGCTGCGCATGGCAGGCACAACACACCCCGGGCTCTCTGTACATGCATGGCATGCAGCAACACCACGGCTCACGTACATGGCATCAGCCAAAACACCGTTATGAGACACACACCCCACCACACTCTGATTCAACACAAATGGAAACCACTACCAACCAACTCACCACACAGGCCCCACAGCTACCGCACACCACAACACACCACTACAACCACACACCACACCACACACCACACACACCACACACACACACACACACAACACCCAACAAACCACACACACACACACCACACACACTAACCACCACACACACACCACACACACACTAACCACCCACACACACACACACACTAACCAACCACACACACACACACACACTAACCACACACCACACCACACACACACGACCAAACACACACACACACACACACACACACACACACACCACTAACCACACACACACACACACACACTAACCACACACACACACACACCACTAACCACACACACACACACACACTAACCACACACACACACACACACACACACACACACACTAACCACACCACACACACACACACACTAACCACACACACACACACTAACCACACACACACACACACACTAACCAAACCACACACACACACACACACACTAACCACACCACACACACACACACACTAACCAAACCACACACACACACACACACACACACACACACACACTAACCACACCACACACACACACTCACTCACTGAACTTTCAAATAGACCAAGCCAATAACACACAAACACTTACTAAGCTATCCTACAGACACAGTGTACTGTATCCACTGTATACGATGACTATGGAGGTCCTGTCCGTTTCCAAACCATGGAGGTCCGTCTCCACAACATGGAGGTCCTGTCCGTCTCCACAACATGGAGGTCCTGTCCGTCTCCACAACATGGAGGTCCTGTCCGTCTCCACAACATGGAGGTCCTGTCCGTCTCCACAACATGGAGGTCCTGTTTGTCTCCACAACATGGAGGTCCTGTCCGTCTCCAAACCATGGAGGTCCTGTCCGTCTCCAAACCATGGAGGTCCGTCTCCACAACATGGAGGTCCTGTCCGTCTCCACAACATGGAGGTCCTGTCCGTCTCCACAACATGGAGGTCCTGTCCGTCTCCACAACATGGAGGTCCGTCTCCACAACATGGAGGTCCTGTCCGTCTCCACAACATGGAGGTCCTGTCCGTCTCCACAACATGGAGGTCCTGTCCGTCTCCAAACCATGGAGGTTCTGTCCGTCTCCACAACATGGAGGTTCTGTCCGTCTCCACAACATGGAGGTCCTGTCCGTCTCCAAACCATGGAGGCCCTGTCCTTCTCCAAACCATGGAGGTCCTGTCCGTCTCCACAACATGGAGGTCCTGTCCGTCTCCACAACATGGAGGTCCTGTCCGTCTCCACAACATGGAGGTCCTGTCCGTCTCCACAACATGGAGGTCCTGTCCGTCTCCACAACATGGAGGTCCTGTCCGTCTCCACAACATGGAGGTCCTGTTCGTCTCCACAACATGGAGGTCCTGTCCGTCTCCAAACCATGGAGGTCCTGTCCGTCTCCAAACCATGGAGGTCCGTCTCCACAACATGGAGGTCCTGTCCGTCTCCACAACATGGAGGTCCTGTCCGTCTCCACAACATGGAGGTCCGTCTCCACAACATGGAGGTCCTGTCCGTCTCCACAACATGGAGGTCCTGTCCGTCTTCACACCATGGAGGTCCCGTCCGTCTCCAAACCATGGAGGCCCTGTCTTTCTCCAAACCATGGAGGCCCTGTCTTTCTCCAAACCATGGAGGCCCTGTCTTTCTCCACAACATGGAGGTCCTGTCCGTCTCCACAACATGGAGGTCCTGTCCGTCTCCACAACCTGGAGGTCCTGTCCGTCTCCACACTATGGAGGTCCTGTCCGTCTCCACAACATGGAGGTCCTGTCCGTCTCCACAACATGGAGGTCCTGTCCGTCTCCACAACATGGAGGTCCTGTCCGTCTCCACAACATGGAGGTCCTGTCCGTCTCCACAACATGGAGGTCCTGTCCGTCTCCACAACATGGAGGTCCTGTCCGTCTCCACAACATGGAGGTCCTGTCCGTCTCCACAACATGGAGGTCCTGTCCGTCTCCACAACATGGAGGTCCTGTCCGTCTCACCAACCTGGAGGTCCTGTCCGTCTCCACACTATGGAGGTCCTGTCCGTCTCCACACTATGGAGGTCCTGTCCGTCTCCACACCATGGAGGTCCCGTCCGTCTCCAAACCATGGAGGCCCCGTCTTTCTCCAAACCATGGAGGCCCTGTCTTTCTCCAAACCATGGAGGCCCTGTCTTTCTCCAAACCATGGAGGCCCTGTCTTTCTCCAAACCATGGAGGCCCTGTCTTTCTCCACAACATGGAGGTCCTGTCCGTCTCCACAACATGGAGGTCCTGTCCGTCTCCACAACCTGGAGGTCCTGTCCGTCTCCACACTATGGAGGTCCTGTCCGTCTCCACACCATGGAGGTCCCGTACGTCTCCAAACCATGGAGGCCCTGTCTTTCTCCAAACCATGGAGGCCCTGTCTTTCTCCAAACCATGGAGGCCCTGTCTTTCTCCAAACCATGGAGGCCCTGTCTTTCTCCAAACCATGGAGGCCCTGTCTTTCTCCAAACCATGGAGGCCCTGTCTGTCTCCAAACCATGGAGGCCCTGTCTGTCTCCAAACCATGGAGGCCCTGTCTGTCTCTACAACATTTTCAAAACGTACAATGTGAATGTACGGACACAAACAGACACACAAACACACAACCCTCAATCCTATTAACTGTATTCTCTCTCTGCCCGTTACCCTATTGGTGTGTGTGTGTGTGTGTGTCTTACAAAAAACACTTATACTCTGCCTTAACACACACTAAGGATGTGTTTAAACAGGCAGCCCAATTCTGATCTTTTGCCCAATTATTGGCAAAAGTGCTGGTCCAATGGGTCAAAAGACCAATTAGTGAAAAAGATCAGAATTGGGCTGCCTGTATAAACACAGCCTTTGTGTACTACAACAAAACACATTTACTCTGCTTTGTTTAAACATACATACTATAGAGCCCAGTAGCTGCAGATCTGATTGGTGGGTTGATGGATGGATTGAATGGTGGATGGTTGCTAGATTGACGGATGGTTAATTTGTTAATTGACTCACCTTGGTTCTGTTGGAAGTCGTCCAGCACCTTGTCCAGGTTGAAGGCCTCTGCCTGGAAGTAGTTCTCCATGGGTCAGGTACCTCCACCCTGACACGCTGCAGGAACCTGTTAATAGATACAGTTGAAGTCGGAAGTTTACATACACTTAGGTTGGAGTCATTAAAACTCGTTTTTCTGGAGTCATTAAAACTCGTTTTTCAACCACTCCACAAATGTCTTGTTAACAAACTATAGTTTTGGCAAGTCGGTTAGGACATCTACTTTGTGCATGACACATGTCATTTTTCCAACAATTGTTTACAGACAGATTATTTCACTTAATCACAATTCCAGTGGGTCAGAAGTTTACATAGACTAAGTTGACTGTGCCTTTAAACAGCTTGGGAAATTCCAGAAAATGATGTCATGGCTTTAGAAGCTTCTGATAGGCTAATTGACATCATTTGAGTCAATTGGAGGTGTACCTGTGGATGTAATTCAAGGCCTACCTTCAAACTCAGTGCCTCTTTGCTTGACATCATGGGAAAATCAAAAGAAATCAGCCAAGACCTCAGAAAGACAATTGTAGACCTCCACAAGTCTGGTTCATCCTTGGGAGCAATTTCCAAACGCCTGAAGGTACCACGTTCATCTGTACAAACAATAGTACGCAAGTATAAACACCATGGGACCACGCAGCCGTCATACCGCTCAGGAAGGAGACGCGTTCTGTCTCCTAGAGATGAATGTACTTTGGTGCATAAAGTGCAAATCAGTCTCAGAACAACAGCAAAGGACCTTGTGAAGATGCTGGAGGAAACAGATACAAAAGTATCTATATCCACAGTAAAACAAGTCCTATATCAACGTAACCTGAAAGGCTGCTCAACAAGGAAGAAGCCACTGCTCCAAAACCGCCATAAAAAAGCCAGACTACGGTTTGCAACTGCACATGGGGACAAAGATCGTACTTTTTGGAGAAATGTCCTCTGGTCTGATGAAACAAAAATAGAAATTGTTTGGCCATAATGACCATCGTTATGTTTGGAGGAAAAAGGGGGTTCCTTGCAAGCCGCAGAACAACATCCCAACAGTGAAGCATGGGGGTGGCTGCATCATGCTGTGGGGATGCTTTGCTGCAGGAGGGACTGGTGCACTTCATAAAATAGATGGCATCATGAGGAAGGAAAATTATGTGGATATATTGAAGCAACATCTCAAGACATCAGTCAGGAAGTTAAAGCTTGGTAGCAAATGGGTCTTCCAAATGGACAATGACCTTAAGCATACTTCCAAAGTTGTGGCAAAATGGCTTAAGGACAACAAAGTCAAGGTATTGGAGTGGCCATCACAAAGCCCTGACCTCAATCCTATAGAAGATTTGTGGGCAGAACTGAAAAAGCGTGTGCGAGCAAGGAGGCCTACAAACCTGACTCAGTTACACCAGCTCTGTCAGAAGGAATGGGCCAAAATTCACCCAACTTATTGTGGGAAGCTTGTGCAAGGCTACCGGAAACGTTTGACCCAAGTTAAACAATTTAAAAGCAATGCTACCAAATACTAATTGAGTGTATGGAAACTTCTGACCCACTGGGAATGTGATGAAAGAAATAAAAGCTGAAATAAATAATTCTCTCTACTATTATTCTGACATTTCACATTCTTAAAATAAAGTGGTGATCCTAATTGACCTAAGACAGGGAATTTTTACTAGGATTAAATGTCAGGAATTGTGTAAAACTGAGTTTAAATGTATTTGGCTAAGGTGTATGTAAACTTCCGACTTCAACTGTATATATTTTTCTATTTAATGTTCTAACCAGTTCATGTGGTTGTTGTATCCATACCAGTTTTATTCTAAGCCAATCAATGTTTTATTAAGTTATACTGTTATGTGTTAGTTCCTACTAGTGGCCAGATGAGTGATCATATCTATATTTTTTTATATATATATATATATATAAAAATAAAAAAACAGTTTTTCTCCCCAATTTTTCGTGATATCCAATTGGTAGTTACAATCTTGTCTCATCGCTGCAACTCCCCAACGGGCTCCGGAGAGGTGAAGGTCGAGTCATGGAAAATGGAAACAAATGAGGGACAAGACGATTGGATGACTACTTATGGGCGGGGCTTTGTCATATATATAGTTGTCCCTCATTCATCCAGGTGATTCTATTGTTTGGTTCATGTACCTTTGTATTAAAACTGTAGAGAGGGATATTTGAAACCGTCTTCAGCTTTTTGAAGACAAGTTCAACTAATTAAAAAGAATAGGAGTAAACCAGATGTCAGATACTTCATTCAAAGTTATTTGTTACGGTCTTTGATAAATAATATAATAATAATATGCCATTTAGCAGCCACTTTAGCAGCCACACACAACAGAAGCTACATTGTAGAATAATAGTGAAGACATCAAAACTATGAAATAACACATATGGAATCATGTAGTAACCAAAAAAGTGTTAAACAAATCAAAATATATTTTATATTTGAGATTCTTCAAATAGCCACCCTTGTGAACAGAGTGCCCCATGGTGGCGGTGGGGTTATGGTATGGGCAGGTATAAGCTATGGACAATGAACACAATTTCATTTTATCAATGGCAATTTGAATGCACAGAGACACTGTGATGAGATCCTGAGGCCCATTGTCATGCCATTCATCCGCCACCATCACCTCATGTTTCAGCATGATAATGCACGGCCCCATGTCGCAAGGATCTGTACACAACTCCTGGAAGCTGAAAATGTCCCAGTTCTTCCATGGCCTGCATACCCACCAGACATGTCACCCATTGAGCATGTTTGGGATGCTCTGGATCGACGTGTACGACAGCGTGTTCCAGTTCCCGCCAATTTCCATCAACTTCGCACAGCCATTGAAGAGGAGTGGGACAACATTCCACAGACAACAATCAACAGCCTGATCAACTGCGTTGCATGAGGCAAATGGTGGTCACACCAGATACTGACTGGTTTTCTGATCCACGCCCCAACTTTTTTTTTTAAAGGTATCTGTGACCAACAGATGCATATCTGTAGTCCCAGTCATGTGAAATCCATACATTAGGTCCTTATGAATTTATTTCAATTGACTGAATTCCTTTATATGAACTGTAACTCAGTAAAATCTTTGAAATTGTTGCATGTTGCGTTTATACTTTTGTTCAGTGTATTTCGGCTGGCCGGACATTTCACTGTATTTCGTACCATTTGTATGGTGTTAAACAGTAGTTTAACACCATCAGTTATATCCGCAATCATTTATAACTTACTTTATTGTTAGGGGGCATTTTGGCCAAAAGTAGTGCGCTACATAGGGAATAGGGTACCATTTGGGACACACCTGGGGCTTGGTTCTGGTTGGTTCTGGTTGGTTCTCCTCCACCCCCTCCAGTATTTGTGTCTAATCAGACATTACACTGATCCCAGTGTCGGCACCTCCTCCAGGGCTAGACGAGTCCCTAAGACAAGCCCTAGTCCTGGCTGTTTAAGCTTTCACACTGAACTGGTCTGGAGCGTTTACCTTTGAACTCTAGTGTGTTTACCCCCTTAGTTTGGTTCGTCTGGACTGGTGTGAACACTACCTGCGCTCAGGAGCACACTAAACAACGCACCGTGGTTCGCTAAAAAAAAAACGGTGGTCTAGGCCCGTTTGAATTCGTACCGTGGTGTGGTTCGCTGCTGGTGAGAACGCAGTCTGGACCAAACACAGGAAAAGAACCAGAGGCACGCAGTTATTATTGGTTGTTTGACTGAGAGCACATCACCTTAACTTGAGGTCTCTGAAACATTCTGTGATGATTAGGGGAGATGGGGGCTATTACCAGAGACATAGACTAGTCAATTAGAGAGGCTATTGGTCTGTTTCCTCCTGCATGTTGTTGGAAGGCTATTGGTCTGGGTCCTCCTGCATGTTGTTGGAAGGCTATTGGTCTGGTTCCTCCTGCATGTTGTTGGAAGGATATTGGTCT